TTTTTTAGTGACTCATTGCTGTTATTCCACCGGAGGAAAGTGCCACAAAAAGTGGTTGTTTTTACACAGGCATTGCTGCATTTTCAGCATATATTTTCCTAACCATAACCAAGTGGTTTTTGTGCCCAAACCTAACCACACGTTAACCACAGTGTTGTTGAAATGTAAAGTTTCAATGTGTCCGCTATGTAAAAACATACAAATGTAACATATCCCTGGTTTGCAGAAATGTATGATGCCAATATTTCTTTTATGACAATTGGATTGATTCTTGAGTCCAAGGTGACGTCTTCAAATGTCTAATTCTGTCTGACCAACAGTCTGAAAGTCAAAGATATTCTGAGAAAAACAGCAAATACTCACACTGAAGGAACTGGAACCAGAGGATATTTGGAAATTCTTCCCAAAGAACTGAGTGAAATGATAAACTGATTATAAGAAAGTTTCTGTTAATCATCTAATTGATTAAGATAGATAAGACTATTGATCCCACACTGAAGAAATGCACGCGCACAGCAAAAGTCAGAAGCAAGAGAAAAAAAGAGTGATTGAGTGCTAAAAAGAATAAAATATTACAAATTAGATCAAATAAAAAAATTAAAAATATAAAGTCTACATATACACTATAAACACCTTTCATTGGTATCTTGCAGTAAAAATACTTTATAGGCTACATTGTGTGTAGTATTTCCCATTATAAGATATAGAAATATAGCCTGTAAATATTATTGCACAATAAGCGGTAAATACTGCACAGTGGGAAATTTCACAGGCTATTTACATATATGTGCGAATATGCATGATTATGAATAAGTAGAATCTATAATAAGTAAGTATAATAAGTTTAATATATATATAAAATCTATAAATAGAGCTAGTAAATGAATTATATAGTAAATAATTAATTGACAAACTGTTTCAGCTCTAAAGATACTTCATAGCTGTCAATCACTTCTACAAAAATCCCTCTATACAACGAGAGAGCACCTGACTTACAATTTTTTTTTTTTTACTCTATTTGTAAACTTCTATGTTGTTCTTCAATACTAAATGACAGAAGGGAGCAAACTATATTAATACCAGTATTATGGTTGAGTACAGTGTTGAGATATTTATCTGTTACTTTAATATTTTAACATTCTGAAGGCTCAACATCATATGTTTGTTGAGGTAAACGGACCTCTTTCAAAGCAGAGATTTTGTCTTGTCATTGTGGGAAAGGCACAGGTGAAACTGATAATGTTAATGATGGCTCAGTTCCATTAAGTGTCTAGGGGTGTAAATCACAAGTCTCATCACAATATATGCCGATATTACAAAGTTTGCCACGATATGATTTCAATTCGATGCCATTCAGGGGCCCGCAATCGATATGAGACGATATTATCTGCCCATATAACACAGTCAGTTACAGAAGAAGCCACCACATCTTTTCTTTTTTTGCTTTTGGCCATAACAAATAAAAACAACATATAAATAAGTAACTGTAACTGCTTAAGTACCGTTAACTTTATTTTAAACTGACTCCACTAACACACATTAAACAGCACATGGGATAAGTTAACCTCCAGGGCATCCTGTCATAAAGTCAGGTCTATCTGGCTTAAAATCCTGAAGGCGAATTTCTAACAACAGCCGTAAAATGTGAACTAACAACATCATTTAACATAAGTATCAAATTCAGCTCAATAATAACTGTCAAAGTTCACAGACATGTCAACTGTTTATTGTTCGTCACCCGTTATTAGCTTGATTAGCTAGCATTTTGACATAGCATTAATTAGCCTAGCGGCTAGCGGCCATTTTCCTCTCATTATAGCTTAACAAATTACATGTACCATTATTATTTTTCTTACTCACCGTTGGTTTAAAGTCACTGCAGCTTCCGACAGAACATTAAGGTTGAATTTCAGCTTGAATGTAGTTTTTTCAGTCGAACATTGTTGAAACAGAGCAGCTAATGTTGCCGTTAAGAAGCTAGCCGAGTGGGATTCCATCCAGGCAGGTGACGTTACCAATCTTTGACGTTACGTCGTGTTTTATCCCATGACGTCACGTTCGCATACGCACGCGCTCTGTCCATTGACCTGTATTTCCACCGAAATCCAAAATATCTCCACACTGCTGATTTATTCCCCAGTAAGTAACATTATCCTCACAGTCTTTCTCTGGGCTGTTTGCCATCTGCTTGTCACACAGACTTTCACAATAAAAGCTTATCCTAAAGATGACGATATAGATCGATGTTTTCACTTTGCATCAATGATACTGGACCGTTGATCATTGAATCGATGTATCGATACAGATCAATGGATTGTTACATCCCTCTAAGTGACCCAGTAAACTACTAGAAAGATGGACATAAACTCGATTTGATTTGTAATCTGTCAGTCACTTTAATCTAAAAACTCACCGGCCACTTTAGTAGGTACACCTGTTCAACTGCTTGTTAAAGGGAAATTTCGGTTTATTTCAACCCATCTTCTATCGTCCTAAATTTGTTTCAAGTCACTAGTGCCATAGAAATAATAGTTAGCATGTTAGCCGTTAGCCTAGATACAGCCGTAGCGTCAGCCCTGTTAAAACGTAATTGAATGGGCATCCTTTCAAGTGCAAAGTTAGTCCACTAAACAAGCTTTTTTCCACAAAGACCGCCTCATATCGTTAGGATAAATGTCAGAGAACATATAGAAAACGACATGTAAACGTGTTGTCTTACCTTACCGGTGTGGTGCCATGTTTGTTGTTTACCATTTAGCTAAGGCTGCAACCGGTCCCATTCCTTGCAACAGAGGCATTCCTCTTCTGTGGGCATTGGGGCACAGCATTCACAGGTAACGTTACACCACCAATCTCCAGAGCTAAAGCCTTCCAGCAGCCATTCCTCCTCTGTCGTCCTCTACCTGTTGTGCCTCTCTCTCTCTCTCCTCCTCCGTTCTTCAGTTTCACAAAGCTCTTCGTCAGTGTATTCTGGCTCAAATAAATAAGGGTGGCCATCAAACTCTGCAAAATCAAATTCCTCCTCCACAAAGTCGAAGTCTGGCAAAAAGTCAGCCATTATTCTATAAATCTTTCATAAAAATAAATGAATGAACTTTTCAGGCTACTGTCCGGTTCTGCCTTGCAGCTGCTGCGGCTTGTTCTCGCGAGATTTCGGCCGCGCTTTGGGAAGCAGAGGTAAACGGTAAACACACAGTAAGGTAAGACAACAACTCTGAAGACCACCTAAATGTGGAATGTTAGTATATAGGCTTTCCACATCGAGAGGCGATGGCCGCCCTTATTTATTTGAGCCAGAATACACTGATGAAGAGCTTCGTGAAATTGAAGAACAGAGGAGGAGAGAGAGAGAGGCACAACAGGTAACGTTAGAGGAAGACAGAGGAGGAATGGCTGCTGGAAGGCTTTAGCTCTGGAGATTGGTGGTGTAACGTTACCTGTGAATGCTGTACCCCAATGCCCACAGAACAGGAATACCTCTGTTGCAAGGAATGGGACCGGTTGCAGCCTTAGCTAAATGATAAACAACAAACATGGCAGCACACCGGTGAGGTAAGACAACACGTTTACATGTCGTTTTCTATATGTTCTCTGACATTTATCCTAACGATATGAGGCGACGACTTTGAACGTGGCATGGTTGTTGGTGCCAGACGGGCTGGTCTGAGTATTTACTGGGATGTTCACACACAACCATCTCTAGGGTTTACAGAGAATGGTCCCAAAAAGAGAAAATATCCAGTGAGCCAAAATGCCTTGTTGATGCCAGAGGTCAGAGGAGAATGGCCAGACTGGTTCAAGATGATAGAAAGGCAACAGGAAGTCAAATACCCACTGGTTCCAACCAAGGTCTGCAGAAGACCATCTCTGAAGCAACAACACCTTGTCCAACCTTGAAGCAGATGGGCTACAGCAGCAGAAGACCACACCAGGTGCCACTCCTGTCAGCTAACAACAGGAAACTGAGGCTACAATTCACACGGGTTTTCTCACCAAAACTGGACAATAGAAGATTGGATAAACCACATTCAGATGGAAGCATGGATCCATCCTGCCTTGTATCAACGCTTCAGGCTGCTGCTGGTGGTGTAATGGTGTGGGGGAGATTTTCTTAGTACCAACTGAGCATGGTTTAAACATTACATCCTACCTGAGTATTGTTGCTGACCGTGTCCATCCCTTTATGACCACAGTGTACCCATCTTCTGATGGCTACTTCCAGCAGGATAGCGCACCATGTCACAAATCTCACATCATCTCAAACATGACAATGAGTTCACTGTACTCCAATGGCCTCCACAGTCACCAGATCTCAGTCCAATAGAGCACCTTTGGGATGTGGTGGAACAGGAGATTCTCATCATGGATGTGCAGCCGACAAATCTGCAGCAACTGTGTGATGTCAAGAATTAAGGCAGTTCTGAAGGCAAGGTGTACCTAATAAAGTGGCCTGTGAGTCTATATTATATTTTGTATTCTGTTGCTCTACTATATATTATGTTATGCTGTTTTATTACATTATATACTATCTGTACATTCTGGCTATCAATAAAGGCTTATTTCATCTTATCTTTAATTTTATAATAAAAATTAAAACACTTACTAGGTCTTTAATTTTATATTTCTTATTATTTCCATTTACTGGAACTATTTACCTCATTATAGTCTTGGATGTTTTACTCATGGTTGTACCATGTGAAGCACTCTGTATTTTTGTTTTTAAAAGATCTGTGCCAATATAGTTTATTATTTATTATATAATATTACTAATGTCTGTTTTTCATTATTGTTTCCTGCTGTACAAACATTAAACCGGTTTGCACAGTGGTAAACAAACGCCGCACTATGCACGAGACAATTAGTGCTCATACATTAGTAACATCTGTTTGCACGAGACAAACATCTGAACGTGCTGCGCGCGGCATCAGGAGAGCGCACCCTGGATGACGTCAGCAGCGTTGCGTGCTGGAGTGAATGAGCAGCTGTGTGTACACATCACAGAGTGCAGCAGGGCCTACAGGCAGAGCTGCAGTGCGAGCAGCGATGGGAGGAATATAACCAGCTTTATTTATATACATGTCATCAGGTAGGTGAGCAGCATGCTGAGCTTTTATTCTGATGTTCACTGGTTAATGTGGTGTTGGTTGCTCGGTGCGGGATTTAAACACAGGGGCGATGCTTGGTTTCCGCACCGTGCAGTGAGTCGGGCTCTGGTGTGTTTGCTCTGGTGCGGCGCGGATGTGTTACAGTCACATTCATAATACATCTATATGCGCTATAAGTGCTTTTCATCATAATGCATTTCGTCTTTGACATGAAGGTGCGTATGAGGCGTTAATGGCATCGCATCATAACCCAGCATCACATTAAAATGAGTCGTGACGCGCGAGCTGCGTATAAATTAATTATTCATGTCATCCCTGATGGACAGCAGGTGATGCACTTCCGGAAAACAACTGCTGATTATGTTTTAAGTCTTCCCTCAAGAGCTGAAGAATCTACTCTGGTGCTGAAATGTTCTCTGGTTAATGTTTGAAGGCAGCTGGGAGGGAAGGAAACATAAAGGAGACCTCAGTCACACCTTATTACGACTTATAGAAACACAGGTCAGTTATCAGTTACAGTCCACTTTAAACAAGAGGTGACTCAGACTTATTTACTCAGGATCTGTAGCTACTTAAATGCAACTTATAAGTATTTTACTGCTGCTGTAAACATCTACTCAACGACATTTATTGTGACAGTTTTAGTTAATTCACATATTTAGATTATTAATAGAAAATATTAATACAGTATGAGGTTAAAGGGTCAGTTCACCCCGAAATCAAATATACATATTTTTCCTCTTACCTGTAGTAGTATATATGTAATGGATGTTAAATGGACCTGCACTTGTATAGCGCCTTTCTAGTCATCTGACCACTCAAAATGGGATTTACACTACAAGTCACATTCACCCATTCACACACTGGTGGAACAGCCATCGGTAGAATTTGGGGTTCAGTATCTTGGTAAGTATGCAGGCTGGAGGAGCCATTATTCGAATTGCTTATCTTCTGATTGGTGGACGACCTGCTCTACCTCTGAGCCACAGCTGCCCCAATTTTACATTCATCTTCATTCATTTTCTGTAACCGTATATCCTGTTAGGGGTCGCGGGGGGTGGAGCTTATCCCAGCTGACATTGGGCGAGAGGGGTAAGATGTTAAGATACAAATCAAGAGAGAACAAGTTCAAATCAAACCTCACTGATCAGAGGAGCAGCAGAGAAAAGTGTTTTGCTGATGCTTTTACTTTCCTAAACAAGTAAACTTTATTTTACCACTACATGTAGTTTAGTTAAAATGATAATAATAAATACTAGCGGCGTGGTGGTGCAGTGGTTAGCATTGTCATCTCACAGCAAGAGGGTTCCTGGTTTGAAACCAAAATGGGGGAGCCGTTATCGTAAGACTACTGCTGGGGGAGTGTGAGCTCTGCACCTGAGAGGACAGAGTCACACACACAGTGACAGGGCTAACTGTTAGCATCACAAAGCTACTAGCTATATTTCCATCCAAAAGTGATTCAAATCATTGGGAAATGCGCATTAAAAGAAATACGAATCCTGTGTGTTTCCATTAAATGTACGGACTTTGGTGAAAACTACAAACTCGTGTGAGTTTTCCGCAGAACCGGAAACAAAACAAGTCTCGCATTCTTCTTCTACGTTTTCTGGCGGTTGGCAACCAGCTTGTAAATGCATTATTGCCTTCCCTACCTTGAGTGTGGATATCACCATGGAGAGAAGTGCGCTACTTCAGACTTAATTCGAACTTAACTGTTTCCATCCCCTGTTTTGCGAATCAACATTTTTTTGCATCAACCAAAACCCGGCTAAAGTTAGCGTATTTTAGTTTGTGCGAATCAGGGGATTTTAATTCGAATTTTGGCGTTTCCATCATAATTTTCTGATGCGATACTTCTAGATGCACATCTAAACAGGCTGATGGAAACATGGCTAATGTTACACGACATTTATTGATGGATTTACACGACAGAGTCAAGCTGTTTTGGTGTATTGGGACCGTTTCATGAATTGATTTTGGGGTGGGGGAGTTCGAACCTCAGGGTTGGGGATACCTTCTGTGCGGAGTTTGTATGTTCTCCCTGCATCATCGTGGGTTTTCTCTGGGTACTCCGGTTTACCCCACAGTTAATGGTGACTCTAAATTGTCCGTAGGTGTGAATGTGAGTGTGAATGGTTGTCTGTCTCTATGTGTCAGCCCTGTGATAGTCTGACGACCTGTCCAGGGTGTACCCCGCCTCTCGCCCAATGTCAGCTGGGATAGGCTCCAGCCGCCCATGATCGGGACCCCCAACAGAATAAGGGGTTACAGAAAATGAATGAATGAATGAAAATGATTCCGATGAATTTTAAATTAATAGACTGTACACTAAGTTAACTATTTGCAATGTTACAGCTGACAGGCTCGGTTTGAAACACTTCAGCTTTGATGAAAACAGATTTCCCCATGTCCATATTCTGTACTGCATATCACAGAGAAGATGTGTAGCTGCAGTTCTGCTGATGACTGTTTGCTAAAAATTTGAAAACTTAAATTGTTAAAATGGCCACCAGGCTCCACTACATACTCCTCACTCCTTCTATTGTCGACTACAGCAGGCATCTAAGTTGTTCTTGTTTGTCTACAGGTATTCTCAAAAAATGGAGGGAGGAAACTTGTGAGTATCTTTGTTTACACCAATCAGTGAGTTTATACAGGTGATATTAGGAAAGCATGAGTCATAACACTGGTCTAACCTCTGTGTCGTTGCAGTGGCTACTCCCAAGACTATCTTGACCGCTTCATCCAAAGCCAGGACTCATCTGTGGTGAACAAGTTCCAGCAGAAGTACTGGAAAACCAAACAGACGCTCATCAAGGTCACGGGGAAGAAAGAGGACGAACATGTTGTGGCGTCAGACGCAGATCTGGATGGCAAGCTGGAGGTGAGGAGCAGGAATATGAAAGTGTTGGAGTTTTACTGCATGTTAACTGACTAAGGGAAAAGAAAGTCAGGCCGCAGTCGCATCACAGAAACATTAAGAAACAGTGGAGATACTCTCCCTCAGGCGGACTCTGCAGTGACTAAAATGGCTTTTTGATTCACACAATGCCAAGTATTTGCTTGAGGCTTAAAGCGTACATTAGGCTGCCTCTCCAACCCCCATCATCTATGCCTCCATTTCGGGAGTGAAATGAATTTAATGGCTGAAATCGATACTTCATAAAAGCTGGAATATCCAGCGTTAATTCAGGCCAGGTCCTCGATAAGCACCGTGATGAACTGGATATGTACAGAGCTCATGCTTTAAAGCTCTGATGTGACATTTTTACACTTTAATTTTTACCTCATAAAGGCTTCAGTGTTGCATCACATCCACCATGCAGCTGTAACTTCTTGAAATCAATAATGTATGATAGACTTCACTGGTTAGCTGTTATTTGTCTTCTTAAAAAATTAACTCTCAGCATATTCACACAGTGTACACATACTGAGAACAACTTCCACAATGATCAGGCATTTTTTGTTTATGCTGATTCTCCTCTGCACTGCAGGTCTTCCACTCCATCCAGAGAACATGCATGGAGCTGCTGAAGGTCATTGAGCAGTACCAGAGGAGGATCTGCTGTAAGTATAGAGTGGAAATATAAACTCGTTAAGTATCAACTAGGGGTGTGCCATACCATCTCGTTCACGATAATACCGGTATAATTTTAGGCTTGTTGACATATTGACATCATACTGTTACCCACGGCAACAACAAGCGTGACTGAAAGCAAAATTATTACAGACTCTGCAGTGGTTCCAAAAAGAGGAGCAGCTTCAGTAGTGTGGAATAAACTGTGGCGTCCTGAATGTTTTATGAACAGCCCCGGACTTCTCAGACTCTTTTAGTGACTTACTGCTCAGAGGGAACTCATTCAGCGGCTCCTCTGGCAGCAGCACAGCGTCTCTCCCTCTCCTCTCTCGCCTTACGCACACAGGAGTCGGTGTCATCAGTTTTTCACTCATTTTTCATGGTGGCAGCAGACTAATCAAGGTCCAGACTTTGGTCTCCTTAACTGTCTCCCATCAAGCTTCTCCAGAGGATCCTAAGACATAGCCATGCCAGATAAGATCCTGTTTGAAAAGCCCCAGCTACCTTCACAAGGAGGAGCACTGAACCACCTCTGAGTCTTTTTAAATGAGCAGCAGCTCTGAGCCCCTTCTTGATGTCTGAGCTCATCGCGTTGTCCTTAAGCGTTAACAAAGACACACCGTGAAAGAACTCAGTTCAGGTTGAGTCAGGGCTGGGTGATATGCAATGAAAATTATTTCACAATATTTTAAGGCTACATCTTGATACGCAGTATTTTCAAATCTCCTCAAAAGCATTTCGTTAATGGGACTGGGACTTCGACTGGGAGCCAAAATCGAACAAAACAATATTTCTGACCGAATAACTTCTCTCATGCAAAAAAGTTGTAGGGATGACTGTTGTGTTTTTTTCTCATAATGAGATTTTTGATCAATATTAACCAATAATGTGGATATAACGACTAAGTGGGTTAAGGCATGCATTAAAACAACTAAACAGTCTTCTAAGTTGATCATTTTTTTCACTTTACTGTAATTCAGCCTTTAAAACGAGGGAGAAATCACCATTCATGCCAAATCATGATACAACGATATCCAAAATCTAAGACGATACACAGTCTCATATCTCGACAACAATTTCTGGGTCTGTCTGGCAGCTTCCCTCGCTACCTGATCCAACTCATCACCAGGTGATGATCTCTGCCGCTCTCTTTACCAGAACAGACGATACAGCTATAAAGCCGATCATTGATCTTTAACCAAAGGTGTTCTGGTACCAGCTGCACTTGTAAACTATCTTATGTGTTGATGTTGAGGCCTTTAAGGATGGTGCTTGAGTACAGATATCTTATAAGAAAACAGCACTCGGGTTCAGATCAACAGGTATATCCTCCAAATTACCACCTTCCATTACAAATGTGAGTGTGCAGCAGCACAACTATGGAGTCCTCAGGTGGTGCTCTTTACAAGACACCACCCAGAGACTCCAAGACGGCAAGCTACTCCGAACCACACAGCTGCAACCAACAGTCAGAGTTTCTATCTGTGCCAAGCAAGTGCAGAGATCCTCTCATTCTCCAGGGAGGACACAGTGATGCTTTGCCAGGGACTCACAAGTACTTTCCTCATACCCACCCAGTGCCTCTCATCACGGGCAGTTCTGGGAAAGGATACTCCAGCCTCTGTCTGGGAATTTGATTAAAGAGCTTGAGAATGGATACTGGCAAGTTAGGGATGTGCCGGTGTCCAACTTTTACACTACAAACATTACAGCCAAAAATAAAAAGTTAAACAGTATTATCCCAATATTCTTTAAAACTTTCCAGAAATATCACTTTTATACTCTAAGTATAATACAAATAAAGTAAAATGGATCTCACACCATATTTAAGACACCCAGGGCCCCATTTAAATGATCCATAGTGCATGGTCTAAAGTGCATGGTGCAATGCATTTGGAGCATGTCCAACTCAGCTTTTGCTAGTTAAACAGCACAGTGTGTGGGAGCAAGGTAAGGTGCACAGGGAAATAGATTGTATTTAGCCCCGTAATTAATTACCCATAGGTGTGTTCTAGGCGTAACATGGATTAAAACCACTGAAGTGTCATCTCCCATTACCTTTAAAAGCCAGGTGTGTGTGTACCTGGCGCACTGCTATTTACACTGCAGATTCAGCAAACTGGATAAGCGAGCCGTTTTCTGCTGAGAGTAACACAATGAAGTGATTCTGCTCCTCGTGTGTAAATGTGCACAGCGTCTCTTTATGGGAAGTCTTTTGCGGAGCAGCAGCAAACAGATGCCTGCAACCTATCCATGCATCCCTGTGTGTGTAACAAGCAGAGTGTACGCACGTTGTGAACCCGACAATGTAGGCCCATCTTCCTATCTAACAATGCGTCCTAACCCTTAAATGGGCAAGCACATATACAATTTTTGGAAAAATAATTAATTGCTATTTTCTGATGTTTCTAGGCTAAAATAACACAATTTCATGATTTTTTTTTCAAAATATGACCTTTATTTTTCATTTTACAGTTTGTATCTCCCAGGATACATTGCCTGTTTAGGGTATAAATTTACCAATTTCAAATTTTTCAAATATTTCATTTGTAAATTTTTTTAAAGTTTAAGTTTTTTAAGTTTTTTTAAGTTTAAAAAAAGTGGGGGAAAAACTGAACACAAGTCATTGGAAACAAATCTAGCTTTGAATAAACAACGAGCTACTAACATTACACAAAACTTCTTATTCCTGTTCTTATGCAAACATCTCCTCTGTGGAGCTCCTACACTAGAAATAGCCTTCTGGCAGTGGAAGCTGTGGAAACAGTTGCGAGTGTTTTGGCCAGTGACAATGCAAAGCCTCACTTTGAACTTCTGACACACGATGGAGGTCTGTCCATCCTGGCACATCCTGCATCGGCCTTTCACTGACACGATAGGGAAATGGTCAATCCCGTCTTATCTCATATCATCCACAGGCCTGGGATCTTTTGGCTGTTTGATTACTTTTGGTGGTGTGTTGTCTCTGTTTCCTTTGGAGGGGCGACCCCTTTTTTGCTTTTCAGGGTAGATGAGTCCTTTGGCAACATCCAGCCTAAAGTCCTTCAGGCAATGATGTGAGAGTTGTACTCAGATACAATCTTCGGGCATGGCACACTTATCTTCTTCTTTTCCTATTTGGAGTAGCGTCTCACTTGGCCAACAGGGTTGACAGAAGCACAGGAGCTCACCAAGGTGACAGTTTTGTTGTCTGCCCATTTGACCACAGCAAGCTTTGCATCGTTGTCTACACGAAAGTTAAAGCTGCCTCTATCTCTTCGTAGAAGGTTTCGATGTTCTTCCAATGTACAACCCATCAAGCGGTTCTTTCGAATGGTACCCAAACTTCTGAGGCCCAATTCATCTTCCTCATCTTCACTGGTTCCCTCATCTTCATCTGAATCAGATGAACCATCAGGTGGCAACACAACAGATGCCACCTCTCTCTTTCTTGTACCATAGAAAGTACTGGTAGAAATTCCCTGAAAACATATGTACACTGGTGAATTAATCAGTAATACACATTTAAGAGTAAAATGAAGTGTAATCAACATTTAACACCTTTATATTATTGATTATCTGTAGAGTATAGGCTTCAAAACATAAGTATATCTAAGAGTGATTATGCTTGTTTATATACCCCCATCTGGACAACGTATCCCCCAGGATACAGACATTCAGTGCCTGTTTATCAAAGTTGTGTAAATGTAATTCATTATTTTTCAACCAGAATACATAAAATTATCCTTAAAGAACAATATTTTCAAAAACAAATCCCCTCAAAACATAATTAACAAGAAAAATAACAACACTTACCTCATGGCCAGTGTCTCTGTCCACGTAGGCAGCCATTTTGGAGTGTGACATAAATGTATCAATTTAGTTTTGAATGCTGCCATAAAGTCACATGACCCGGGCACTTGATCCACCCCCCTTAAGACTTTCTCATGATATTTAGTGCAGATACTTAATGCCCCTCCCCCCTACAGCCTGCCAAATGTCTGTATCTCCCAGGATACAGAAACCAATAGCAGGAAAAACTGCACCATTCGGACTTCAGACCAGGTTTTTGTTGGTCACTGGCGCAGCTAGTTTTTGCTGCCTCAGAATAGCAGTGCACCGACAATGCACCTGACCACACCTCATTATAAGGCCTACACGCCCATGGGTGCACAGATGGGTGCAAGCACAGTTGATACTTACACAACGTGGGCACTGGGTGTGAAAATGACAGCTGTGTCGGTCTGAAACTACCAATGACAGTGGCTTTGTGTTGAATTCTGCGCCACTTTGTGCCAGGTGTATGATAAGGGCAGAACTGGGGCACACACTAGCTCACCAGGTAGAGCAGGCGCCCCATGTACAAAGGCTGTGTCCTTTCCGCAGCAGCCATAGGTTTAATTCCAACCACAGCCCTTTGCTGCATGTCATTCCCCCTCTCTGTCCCCCTCCCACACTATCCAATCAAATAAAGGCAACAAGTGCTAAAAAATATCTAAAAAAATATGACCCCTGCACCAGACGTATGCAACATGCATTGCATCATGGGTCTCACTCTCCTCTGCTGTTTGGGTAATGCAGTGTCTCCCAAAGCTGAAATTAAAGCTCCAGCATGAGCAGACCCGAAGCTGACCCTAGAGCAAAGATGTAGTATGCTGGATTTTGAGGAAAGTTTCCACATAAAATGTACGCTCTATCTCTTCCTCTCAGTCATAAATTCACACACAGAAACTGGCTGCACTCCAGGAGGCCGACTAGCGAACGTTAGTGGGATAGAAAGCTATGTCCAGAAAGCTACACAGACCAGGATCATGGTTTGGTGGTCCTGCTGTGGCTGCTTCGCCTCAGTTTAACAGTGAGAAAGGAAATCGTTCTGGCTCCTTCCTCCACCAGTGAGGAGACATTTTACTGTGGTCCCAGTAAACCACAACTCCTGACCATGTGTAAGGCTGACCCTCATGGCTGCAGCTCCATGTTACTTCCTCAGGTTGGGCCGGACAGGCCTGGCCACCTGATTGCAGCTGTCCAGAACATGGTTTTTAGTCAGGCCCTTCTCTCTAAGGAACAGCTTACTGTGCGAGACCCTACCTGGAGCTGTTGCCCCTGACAACACAGCTCCCTGGGTCACACAAACCCCAAAAAGATGGCAGTTCTCAGAGGAGAAACCGTAAATACAAGATACATTTATTCCTATATTCATTATGCATTTATTCACAGGGCTTTTTGTGATGAAGATACAAAAGTGAATATTAATGCTTGTCATGAAATTAAAGACGACACCTCTACTATGCAGTTCTTTCCCAGGAGGAGAACGAGCTGGGTCGTTTCCTGCGCTCCCAGGGCTCGCAGGATAAAACCAGGGCTGGAAAGATCATGCAGGCCACCGGGAAAGCACTCTGCTTCTCCTCCCAACAGAGGTAAGCAACGTGCGAAAAACCATCAGTGTGTATTTGTCACATCCTTGCATGCAGATAGTCCACATGTAAGTTACAGCTGCACCAGAAAATAGTTTCATGTCAAGGTGAGTAGATGTTATCACCTCAAATCCCCAAAAAGGAATACTCCAAATATATTCAAAGAGTTATGTGAGGAAATTTTCTCTATCTAGATTTGAAAATTACAGAGCAGACGTTACACTCACTCTATTACATAACTTCTATTAATATATTATTTTCTGAATCTGTGTCACAATCTGCCGACTACAATAACGAGGCAAGTCAAGTGTTACATAACATTATATTGTATTACAGTAACTGTGATACCCTGAGAACACTGGTATAAAGATATGGCAAACAAATGTGATTATCATAGAGAGGATTGGCAGCCATTATTAAAGAGTCATTTCCCTGATAATGCTTCATTATGAACAAGTCTGTGTTGAAATCAGCAGGAGAGTGAGTTACGTTAGCTGTTAGCAGCAGGTGACCAGAACTATCAGGTGATGGAGGTTGCCTTGAGTTACATCATGAGGGGTTCAAGCTCTGTTCAGTGACAGTGAGTAAAGTAAATTATAACGTTCTGGTGATGTGTTCAAATGAAATCTTGGAAAATGTAGTTTTTGGTGAGAAACCTGAATAAATCCAGTTTTTTGAAGGAGAAATTTGTTGATGTTTTTAAAGCAATATAAAATAGATATTAAAGAAGGAGGTATGATATATTATATGTAGGGAAAAAGGCAGTTTTTTTCTAAAGATTTTTTATATAAAAGGTTATTTTAAAGGTTGTATAAAATTGTATGATTGAATTTGTGCTCATTCAAAGTGAGTGTGATGAAGGGCTGAATGACTTTAAAGGGATAGTGCACCCAAAAATGAAAATTCAGCCATTATCTACTCACCCATATGCCGAGGGAGGCTCAGGTGAAGTTTTAGAGTCCTCACATCAGGGGAGAGGGGGTAGCAGCACAACTGCATACCTAATGGCTGACGGCGACCCAGATTAAAACGTCCAAGAACACATAATTGAAACCACAAAATATCTCCATACTACTCGTCTGTAGTGATCCAAGTGTCCTGAAGCCCTGACATAAAAAGTTGTTTGGAAAAACATCATTTAAACTCTGTTTTTAGCCTCATTGTAGCCTGTAGCACTAACTGTCTCTCTGTAGGCTACACTGAGCTGACGTGTGTGCGCTTGTGCGAGACATGGGCACCTCCTTCATGTGTGTTCACGTGCTTTCGCTGGTCTTGCACGCAAGCACGCACACGTGAGCACGGTCCACAGAGAGACAGTTAGAGCTACAGGCTACAATGAGGCTAAAAACATAGCTTAAATGACGGCAACTGGACTTGCTTGAGTTTCTTGAAGACGTTTCACCTCTCATTCAAGAGGCTTCTTCTGTTCATACTGACTGGTGCGAAGCTGCAGCCTTTAAACGCCGTGTGGGTGTGAACCCTTACAGAGTCTTTGAGGTCACATGTGAGTCGTTGACCCACCCGGCCATCTTGTGTGCCGTTAGGGTTAGATGGGCAGGTGACCATTGCTGTCCTCAAAGGAGTGTCCCTTCTCCTTTAGATGTAAATGGACAGCTGAGTCTTGATATGTCCATTTACATTTCCCTCGAGGACAGCAGTGCTCACATCTTGGCCAGAGAAGACGGCTCAAAAGAAGCCTGAAAGCATGAAAGAAGCCAACTACGTCAAACTTGAACAACCATCGTTAAACAGAGGAGGTGGCCCACAACACCATTCATCACCCACCTACAGTGCAGTCTTGGGATCCCTTCCTAGATGACTCAACACCATTTCTCACCTGGACCCATCTAACCCTAACAACACACAAGATGGCTGGGTCAGTATGGCGACTCTGCACCAGTCATTTAGAACTGAAGAAGCCTCTTGGATGAGAGGCGAAACGTCTTCAAGAAACGCAAGCAAGTCCAGTTGCCTACGATATAGCAGCTAAGATTACCTTGACCTGGATGACTGAGAATTTTCACCTATATATCGCTCTCAATGTTCGGCAAAGTTCAGAGAAAAGGCGTCAGGCCGTAGACATCGCAATGACTCACATTTTAGTTTACGAAATGTTGTACAAAAATTTGTTGTAGTCCGATAGCTTACACATTTATACTACTGGATAATGTAAGAATCATTTTAGGCCTACAACAATGAAAAAATAACTGTGATTCATTTTCATGTGGCCTAATTTTTGGTCAAAGCCACAGGGAGCCATTGGAGAAGGGCCAAAGAGGCGCAGGTTGCCTACCCCTGATTTAGAGGGATACACATAACTTGGTTGAACTGATTTCTCCACCAGCCTTTGATTGACTCTTTAGCTTTTGCAAGACACTTCAGTTTTTCCCTGCTGGGGTTGGAGGAGCCCCTCCCTTGTGACTTTAAATTATTCAGCAGACTGAATTATGCACTATAAAGGTCAGAAGAGGTTTTAATGTCAAGACCTTTTATGACCATCTAATGTCTAAAACTAATGTGATAATGATAATGTCAAACTTGTGACATGCAGCACTTTAATACTTGATTTAAAACTACATCCTACAGACTGGCTCTGAGGAACCCTCTGTGCCGTTTGTACCAGGAGGTTGAAACGTTCCGCTACAGAGCGATCTCAGACACGTGGCTGACGGTGAATCGAATGGAGCAGTCCAGGACTGAGTACCGCGGAGCGCTGCTTTGGATGAAGGACATATCTCAGGAGCTGGATCCAGACACTCATAAACAGATGGAGAAATTCCGCAAGGTTTGTGCGTCACATGTTCACATCATATCTTGCATCAGTTTGAAAATCAGTTGTGCTCTTGTTAAATTGTTGGCTGTTGCTTACAGCTTGCAACCCACTGTCAATATCAAGGTTTTTTTGCCGTCCAGAGTGACATAAAAAGAGAAAATAATATCAGAGACCTGCCAACGCAGTGTGTGGGAGAAAGGTAAAACATTATTCCTGCTCCAACAAGCCATCTGCTGCAGCACTGAAACAGTTTTTTATCATTAATTAATCTGCCAATTATTTTTTCAATTAAACATTCGGTCTAAAAAATGTCAGAAAACAGTCAGAACCTGAAAGAGATGTCTTTATATGTCTTGTTTCGTACCCAGAGACATTCAGAAGTCACATCCGATCCGTATCAACATATGTAAGAGTGGTTTGTACATGAATCAGTTCGAAAGACACAACTGAAAGCTTCATCTATAAGAGGGAAAGTTGAGAGCTACATTCCTGATAAAATGTTTGTGAACATCTCTACAATCAGTGGTAAAACATCTTGTGGAGAGGGTTTTGGGTCCCACCAAAATGATGATGAGAAGTGGTAAAACATTTTAAAATGACATGTTCTAAAAAATCCCATGAGACCCAAATACAAGATTGTTCCCAGACTCAATGTTACCCCATTTTTTCAATGTATAATGATCCTATGTGCTCTCCATTATGACTGAAATGTAAAAAGAACTATGATACATACAGACATCTTTTGTGGTGGTGTCCTAAAATTGTAACCTTTTGGCTGTCAGTCCAAAGCAAGATTTTCTGTGCGATCATACTATTTAGTACGCCAATGAAAGATTCAGTATGCCGCAGTATATAGTATGTCAAATGCAGTATGCCAAACATACCAGGATGTCCTCCTGCACACCTGGTTGCATTTTGCCAGCATGCTTTTCTGGCTATTCTGCCCCACAATCCCCTGAGCGGCGGATGATACGTCACGTTGACTGAGCTGCAAACAGATGACAGCTTGACAGCTAATTAACAGCTGTCAGAAGCTGCAGAGACGGATGACAGCGCGCTCAAGTGACTGGTGACCAGCTGAATTGACAGAAATAAAAGCAACAGAAATTCTGTAAGTGAACAACATAATCACAGAGATAACCAACAATAAAAGGACATAACTATGATAATAAGTAGAATGTTCTTACTGGGTGCATACTGCATGCACGGATAGCTGCAGTACGTACTGAAAGTTAAAAGAAAAAGCATGCGATTCAGACGCAGCTCAATAAAGTATTTGATATAGATATAGTGGAGACCAGTGCACAGCCTAACACATTTTAGTTTTGGCTAAATGTTATTAAAAATATTTAATTATATTTTGGAGACTTTAGGACTTCAGAATTAAGGACCTTAGTTAGCAGTGAACATACGTAAGTTTTAGGTGCAAAAATAGAGAAAATGTGCTGCAGGTGGTTTAATTGCAACACCGTGTTATAACTAACCCCGCTGTGTGGAAATATTCAAACTGAAAAGCCAAATGCAATTTGACTGACAAAATTCGGTCGAGTACAGCTCTAGTTAAAGGTATACTATGCAGGACTGCGGCTACTGTTTGCAAACACTTTCTCTGGAGAAAGTAAAAGTAAAAGCCAACCTCAGATTGACTCGTTTGGCATTCCACCTCGCTACAGTGCCCTCCAAAAGTATTGGAACAGTGAGGCCAATTCCTTTATTTTTGTTGTAGACTGAAAATATTTGGGTTTGACATCAAAAGATGAATATGGGACAAGAGATCAACGTTTCAGCTTTTATTTCCAGGTATTTACATCTGGATCTGATACACAACTTAGAAGATAGCACCTTTTGTTTGAACCCACCCATTTTTCATGAGAGCAAAAGTATTGGAACATGTGACTGACAGGTGTGTTTTGTTGCCCAGGTGTTTCCCAATTACATTGATTATTCAAACAATAAATAGCACTGAATGTCTGAGCTCAGTTTCAGATTGGGTACGATAGGTTTTGCCTGTGCAGACTGCATTTAGAGGTGGAACCAACATGAAAACCAGAGAGCTGTCTATGGGTGAAAAAGAAGCAATTGTGAATCTGAGAGAAGATGGACAATCAATCAGAGCCATTGCACAAACACTGGCCATAGCCAGTATAACCATTTGGAATGTCCTGAAGAAGAAATAAACCACTGGTGTACTAAGCAACAGATGTCGAACAGGTAGACCAAGGAAAACATCAGCAGTTGATGACAGAAACATTGTGAGAGCTGTAAAGAAAGACCCTAAAACAACTGTTAGTGACATCAGCAACAACCTCCAGAGGGCAGGAGTGAAGGTATCACAATCTACTGTTCGCAGAAGACTTCATGAACAAAAGTACAGAGGCTACACCAGATGATGCAAACCACTCATTAGCAAGAAGAATAGGAAGGCCAGGCTGGAATTTGCCAAAAGGTACAGAGATGAGCCTCAAAAATTCTGGGAAAAAGTTTTATGGACTGATGAGACAAAGATTAACTTTTTCCAAAGTGATGGAAAGGCGAAAGTTTGGAGAAAGAAAGGATCTGCTCATGATCCCAAACATACAAGCTCATCTGTGAAACACGGTGGAGGTAATGTCATGGCTTGGGCTTGCATGGCTTCTTCTGGGACGGGCTCTTTCATCTTCATTGATGATGTAACACATGATGGCAGCAGCAAAATGAACTCAGAAGTCTACAGAAACATTTTGTCTGCTAATTTAAAGAAAGATGCAACCAAACTGATTGGGAGATCCTTCATCATGCAGCAAGATAAGGACCCAAAACACACTGCCAAAACAACAAAGGAGTTCATCAGGGGCAAGAAGTGGAAGGTTTTAGACTGGCCAAGTCAGTCTCCAGACTTAAACCCAATAGAGCATGCATTTTACCTGCTGAAGAGGAGACTGAAGGGAGTAACCCCCCAAAACAAACAACAACTGAAAGAGGCTGCGGTGAAAGCCTGGAAAAGCATCACAAAAGAAGAATGCAAAAGTTTGGTGATGTCAATGGGTCACAGGCTTGATGCAGTTATTGAAAGCAAAGGATTTGCAACTAAATATTAAGTCTCATTCACTTTAATCTATTTTAAGTTTATATGTTCCAATACTTTTACTCACCTAAAAATTTTGTGTTCCATTACAAATAATGCTATCTTCTAAGTTGTGTATCAGATCCAGATGTAAATACCTGGAAATAAAAGCTGAAATGTTGATCTCTTGTCTCATATTCATCTTTTGATGTCAAACCCAAATGTTTTCAGTCTACAACAAAAGTAAACGAATTGGACTCACTGTTCCAATACTTTTGGAGGGCACTGTATATCTACGTTTTTTTCCCTGCACTGTTTCTCTCCGATGCAGTCCGGCACCTGGTCGCTATCTTTTTATACAGCCTTGACCTCACCTGAGTGCTATTGCGGTACACGCCCACAAACATCCCGAACACAGAAAATTAGAGAAAATAAGAAATTACAGGCAGAGGGCAGAATCTCTGTGGCAGAATACACCGCCACACACTTCTTGTGGGTCATAAGTGATGACAGAGAGATTACCTCTGTATGAGTCTAGGAAACTCCTGCGCATAGTTTTGAAAGAGTAGTTTGTAAGGGACTGGTCCCCAATAGAGATGAATGGTTACGAGTAATAAGTATGAGATTAACAAATATAACAAAATAAAAACTACATGCAAATCAAATCTGGTTGTGACAGCTGCTATTTCTGATTTTGTTTTTTCTGTTCTTGTTTTTAGCTTTTCATTATATCTTGTCTTAATTGTAGGTCTTTGTATTGTACAATTTTATTATTATTAAAAATCAACTAACAGAGTATCTGATTGTTTCAGCCTTGAGGCCACACAGACGGCACACAATAACCCCACTAGAGGGCAGAGCGCACCATCAGATGTCGGCCCATTGGTTCAAACGACATTGTAGAACTCAGGGACCCCGCGTGCTCTTTTATTCTTACACTTGCACAAACATGAACTCAAGTTTGTTTTTTTTCACTGTTCAGAGCTGTGTGATACAAAACACGGGGTGCTTCTCTTCAGTTGGGACATTTTCTTATCCTTTATATATCTCAGGTTCAGGCCCAGGTGCGCACAACCAAAACAAGCTTTGACAAACTGAAGAATGATGTCTGCCAGAAAGTCGACCTGCTGGGAGCCAGTCGCTGCAACCTCCTCTCTCACGTTTTAACCACATACCAGGTACGCCACAAATCCCAGCTGTTTGCATGCACTCCACTGACCCCAAACTGGGAGGTTTCAATGGCTCCACCACATGTGGTTGAAGTCAGGAAGGAAGACAAACATGACGGGAACAAAGAGATTTAACTGTCAGACCACTCAAGGAGACAAAGGAGACAAATCATTTAGTCTGACTCTCTTTCAGACAACACTATTGCACTTCTGGGAGAAGACATCCCACACCATGGCGGCCATACACGAGAGCTTCAAGGGCTGTCAGCATTACGAGTTCTCCACACTTAAGGTCAGAGAGCATCTTGACCTGCATGTTACATTTAAACTCTGACACAGCCAGCGTCTCAAGAATCTGCCAATAACTATAATCAGTGACTCGGCTATTCTTTCAGACCTTACAAGGCCCCATGGACAAGCTGGCTAAGAAGAAGGGGAAGAAGAAAAGTAAAGCAGAGGCAGACGACGGGAAGAAAGCCGAGACCTCAGAGGACCAGTGAGTTATCTCGTCTTCATCTTTACTCATGCAGGTAGACCAAACACGTGCATGCCAATGGTGAAAACTGAGAATGATGAGAATGTTTATAAGCACTGAACCGAGATAAAGATAAACACACAATATATACACACCTGTTGCTTTCTGTTTGCATCAAATGATTTAAACTGATCTTCTGTCCGTCATATTTACAGACTCATCTCTCTAGTGAATGACAACACCAGCGATAAGATCACAGAAGGTAAAACACACCATTACAACTTGTGTGACTACAATATGTTTTTCATGATGTTATACTATAGAGAAAAAATGATTCATTTTCATAATAATCAGATTTTCTAAATTGACAATCTATAAAATGTACAAACATACTGAAACGTTTCCAATGTGACGTCTTAAACTTGCTTGTTTTGTATATCCAACAGTCCAAAATCCAAAATGCTTCAGTTTACTATCATAGAAGAAAACAAGGAAATATTAAGGGAATACCTCTACAGAATGATCATTTGATTATCAAATACTCGCCGCGTGTTACCCCATGAGTTTGTCAAGGCAACTTTGTTTTTCTCATGTCTCCAGGGCGAATAAAGAGTCCAAAACCAGAGAAAATTCTTGATGAATTGGCCTCGTTTAACAGCAAAACTACTACAAAACATCCATTTACAAACACTTAGGCATATGAAAAGTGTGCTTGGGCATGTGTGAGTGTGCTACACATCTGTGTGTGAGACTGTTTATGAATAAGAGGTGTTTTATATGGTGAGGTTTAGTGTTTTGGAAGTACGATGCACACAACAGGATAAATATGTCTTGGATTATACTGCTGTGTTACACTGAGCTGTGTGAGAGTTTGTAAATGGATGCTTTGATATAGTTTTGCGTTTGTTAAACACAGCCCCCAATGACGTCGGTTGACACTTTGTAAGTCCCACCCCTTTTTGCGCCGGGCTCCAAAAATAGTTAAACGAGCTCCAAACGTGGCAGAACCTCTGTCAAGTTTCCCTTTTCCTGTTACACTTCCCTATGCCATGTGCTAGGCTCATCTCAGCTGAAGAGAAAACCAAGTTATGAAGATGTGGCTGGGGGACTGCCACAGTCTTCGTGGACACACATCTCAATGATCTGGCACAAGACCACATAAATGGGTTTCCCACACCGTACCGTCCAAACAGGCCCCTCAGGTCTGCTAGTCTGGGTTTTCTAACTGTTTTAGAGTCCGGGTTAAAAACTAAAGGTGATGGAGGCTCTTCAGTTCTTGCTCCTCGTCTCTGGAACAGCTTCCCATTGAGCATCACATCAGCTGACTCTGTTCACGTCTTTGAATCTTGTCTCAAAACTTGCTTTTACAGACGGCCTTTCCTGAAGGTTGATAGACTGATTGTGTGTGTGTGTGTATGTATTTGCAGTCATGTGTATATATAGGCATGCCTACATGTATATCCTCCTGAGACCCCAGCTTTTGTTTGGTATTCACAAGTGTGTAATGAAGTATAAAACGGTTTATTTTAATGCCTGACCATTGTTGTCCAAAAACAAAACTGAAAACAGTGCAACATTTTGTAACTCTAAGGGTTAGAGGTCACTGTTCAAGTCTAGAACTGGTCAAAATTGTTCATTTCAGTACCTGAACATGGCTGTGCAAGACAAAATTGCAAATAATGCAACATTCTTATAATTGGTTCATTTTGTCATCTGACTGAATTTTCCTGAATAAATATCCCCAGAAGAGGAAATGAGACACATACTTGGCAGTACTAGTCTTATCATCCTCTGTCTCTACTTCTCCCTTTTCTGATGAGACCAGTAGCCTCAATTTGTGTAATTTCACCCTGCTGTCTGCTTCTTGAAGCCTTATTACCTGATGTCCAAAACACTAACACTCTACTGCGGGACCCAGCTAAACAGAACCGCCGCCGCCGCCGCCATGTTTCTTTTTTCCTCAAGTTTGTCCAACGTGGACACAGGAACCAAGGGGGGCGGGACTTAGTGAGGGTCAGTTCATCAAGAATGTTTTCAATTTTTCGTTCATGGTGGAGTCATGTGTGAAACACAAGGTTGTCTTTATGAATTTAAGTTAACACAGGGTGAGCGATTGATATTCAGATGATCATTTTGTGGGTGAGTGTCCCTTTAATATTTGAGAAGATGGAGCCAGTGAGTTTTGAAAAATAATGATGAAATTTTAGATCTGGTCAAATTTAAAACGGCAATAATCATGTTTAAAGTGAGAAATAATTCACTTCCAGGCAACATTTCAAAAAATGTTTTGTGACAGGGAAAGGGGTTATAATTTAAGATTTATGATTTAAAAAAAAAAAAACGTGTTAGAAGAGTCACAAATATAAATCAATTTAAAAAACTACACAAAAAAAGATACTGTTGGCAGATACATAGATGAGGAAAGGTTGAGCTAGAGAAGTGCATATTTATTTTGTAATAGTGGGAGGTACTTGGACTGTAAATAAACTGGGTTTATTGCTTATTTATTTAATTGGGTAGATAATAGACTGGGGATAGTTGTAAATTAGTTGTAAATAAATTTGGGAATTTGTTGAAATAAAATATGAGTTGAAAGAAGAAATGTAAGAAAGGGGTTTAAGTTACATAATAAATAAGCTTTACTTCTACCTACTACTTTTTGAATACTGTTATCTTAGTCTTGTTTGTTTTTTTATTATGCTTTTAACTCATTCATTCATTCATTCATAAATTTTATATACTTATGCATTAGTATCTAAGTCTGCCTAACCACTCAAGGGAATGAAAATCATCTCCTCCTGTCCAGAGTCAGAGGCAGAGAAGGACAGCATGGCCTTACTGAATGAGATCCTGGGCAGCATGTCTGTGGACGAGGGCGACTTCTCTCGAGAGTGGACGGAAGTGTTCGGAGACACCGAGGAGGGAGTGGGCGCGGCGTCAGGGAGACCGGCGGAGGCCCAGCAAAAGGAAAACTCCTTCTTTCTCCCATCTCAGCTGTTGGACCAGAGCTTGAATAATCCGCAGTCTTCCCTCTCAGGTCAGAACATACAAGTCTGTGTGTGCATTAGTGCATGTGTGAGCCAGCAAAGAGACATTTCCACCATTCTCTTCAACCAAAGCCTCTAAATCAAGCACTATTACTCTAATTTAATTAAGTACTTAGGTGATTAAAACATGCCTGAAAACTAAGTAAGTGACATTGTTTTTCCAGGAATGAGTGCATTAACAAATACTATATGTAGCTAAATATTTCCACACAGGGGGAAAAGTGGATTTAAATGATTTATCAAGCCCATGTCTGTCAGTGTAATACAAGGAGGCTATAATAACACAGCAATTAGATTTGCTTACCCGTAGGTAATTGCCAACTACTTTTCCATTTCATCTGGGCCTGGGCACTGGCTGCTAGCACCTCGTCTGGTTTTGTTGATTTGGTTTTGTCTGTTTCCAGCTCGGAGGGCTGTGAGCAGACCCACTGAAAAGCTATAAAGACATCTATAGTATGTGTGTAATTCCTCGGTGAAATTATGAAGCTGACATTTCAGCGTGGACCAGGTCTGACACTTCTCAGAGTTCAGTTAATCAGGAAGCGGTTTCGTAGACTGTAATTCATGCACAGTCCAGAGTCACAGTGAGTGTCGATAAGGAAAGTGCAAGAAAAAGAAGAACGTTTTAAGTTTTTTCAGCTTAAGTACATGAGAGCAAGTCTGAAGGAAGCATATGGTCTCTGGGATCCAAGGCAGGCAAGATGGCGATGAGTTTTGAAAGGGAGGCCGACAGTCCAGCTGGTCGACGAAGCAAACTTGAGCCTGATCGATTTCTGCCTTTTTTAAAAAGCTGTCAAAACTAATTCAACCTGCTTCAGTTTAATTGATATTAAAGCTTGAAGGCTAAATTACAGGACCAGAGGGCAGAAACAATCACAATATGGAGTCCCAGGAACTGTCAAAAAAATTCAATCACGACTTGTGAATGCATAGAGCTTGGTAAAAGTATAGAAGAATTTCAAAGTCAGTCTGTGAGGTAGGAGCGCACATGGGCAAGGACTGACTTGCAAGTGTAAAAATCTGACGGCATGCAAGGAAAGCAAACATCAGGTGTGTTCTTAAAACTAATTTAACACTTAGAAATCTACCTCTGTGCTCTCAAATCTTTTCTTGTACCTACACTCAAATTTATTTTGCAGTTAACCGGGTTCCCAAACATTTTTACCAATGCATTTTCACATTTTTCCATAACTTTTCTAGAATATTTTACCCCATTTCCATGCCTTTATCTAATTAATTTAACACAGGCATAAAATAAAATGTAAAAAATTAAATGAGCAGGCGTTTTGGGAAAAGTTGCTATTTGCTCGTTAGACATTCCCAACGTCAACTAACTGTATATGCCCATAGACCAGGCAGGCACATACTGGCACTTCACAAAATGTCGAGGCCATGCCTCTTTTCGGGGGTTGAAAACCGAAGATCCGTAAATGTCAATGTGTTTGGGTTCTAATTTTGACAATTTCGTATGCAGTTATTTTCTTGTTAAACAAATGTTTGTTTGAAGAACATGTCTAATAATTGTTCTGCGACCTCAGACGAACCTGAGCTTTCACGATACCTTTATAAAAGTATAACACACCCGTTGGGGTCCTGCATCACTCTGTCAGGGTACTGTGACCCACTTAGTGAACATTATTTCTTATGCACTGTCTGTCACTAGCATTGTTCAGCCGTTTACCACGGTGATGGCGAATATTCAGTCTCTTATGTGCCTCAAATCTCAGTTTAAAGTCTTGGTTAACAGACTACACAACACCTTTCAGCATGGCAATGATACGATGTCGGTCTGGTCGATGTGTATTACTGGATACTAGTGACGATTCAACAGCAGCGCAGCACTAGATTTACTAGATTTTAAATCAGTTACACAAGGAACCCGTTACACGTAACATTAAAACATGTCTGGGGACTTTAAAGAATGTGTATTCAAAACTTTTCCAAGACATTCTGTTATTTCCAAACCATTTCAAGGCCTGGAAAACAGTTTGTCTAACTTCAGAACTTTTCCAGGAGTTCAATGACCCTGGGTACCCTGTGTTAATAAACCACTATATATTAAAATGGAAAGAGTGCTGCACTTTCAAGAGCTGTTCATGAAACTAGTCTGGGTGACTGAGCAGGAAGAACTGTGTCGATCTTGAGAACTTCAGGACCAGAGGTTTCTGACTGTTGTCAAAGGTCTTACATTAGGAGCAGCGTAGGTGAAGCATCTTTTAGATTCCGTGGTCAAAGAAGTCACTCCTGCAAGAAGCATCACAACCAAGGATCAGTCCCAATACATCCCTTGCCCCCTCCGTTTTGCCCTCACCACTGTTTATTGCCACGTTTAGGGGAAGGGTGTCTTGATTCTTCTTGGGATAGAGGGGTAGGGCGATAAGGACGAGGGATACATGTTTTTCATGTCATTGAGATAACCCAATTTGAGTAAACACTATCAATGAAGATACTGCTGACATGTCAGGTCTTGAAGGGTTGTCCCATTTCGTAGGGGAGGATTTAAAGCACTAACCCTTGTAACTCTGTTGCAACGGGTTAAAGGGGCACTTGAGAAAAAAGGGGGGGGGGGGGAGGGGTAAAAAAAAAAGAAATGGGACGAGGCCCAAAGCTCAAGACCTCAATTTAACCTAAAGACTGGAGGCCAAAACAGCCAAGTCCTGGAAAGAATCCAGTTCAGAGAATCAAAGGACGTGACTCATCGTGACCCAAACAGCCTGAACACCCAGATCGAAAGTAAAATGGCTCAAGAACAGAGCTATAAAAAAAACCTTCAAGGAGGAAAACCCCCAAATACTCACGAGTGAAGAATTTTTAGATGCATCCTATAGCGCCTGACGCTGCAGTCACACTCAAAGCATTTAAACTGAAACAAGTTTTACTCATTAAAAATTTCTGCTTCAACATCAGGACTTTCAGGAAATTGCAAAGTGCCACAAAGGTAACACTAGAAGAGGATGCTGGAGCGGAAACACCATAAAGCACTACAAATATCCAAAGGATCCAAAAGGCTGTTTGCTCTCGAGCCTGTTGGACTCATTTGTTTGTTACAACATACAATATCAACAGCACATTCCTGTGTCCTCCCCGGTGGCAGTCTGCGTTGCCACATACTGTATTTTCTGGATACACAAGAAGATAAAAGCCAAATAAATTTGCCTGAAACAAGAACTCAGAGTTGTAACTGCAACCTCTGGCCTGTTTCTAATAACCCACTAATAACGTCAAATGAGATTATGCCGTGATAAATGTTTTGATTGTTGCTGTTTGTGTGTCTGTTACACAATATTTTTCCACATCAGCAGTGTGTGAGAAGAGTGCAGTGATTTATTTGTTGGATCATGCTTTGGCACGTTAAGCGTCCCCTGTTGATTAATCTAAAAATCTGCGTCTCCATTTTCAGATTGGGCCGGGATCATTCCGGCGCCCGTCGCCCAGGCAACGGAACACTCATCTGGAGCCAATCAGAACCCTTCTAAGCCAGCACTGAAAGGTAGGACCGGGCCAAATGAGTAAAACAGATGAAAAGACTTGAAAGAAAAACGACTGATTCAGAGAGACGTGTCCAACTGAGACCTGTGTTTATGGGTACTAAAAAGAGTTTGTGGGTTGTTTCCATTCATAATTTTGGATATCAGCCAGATGCAGACTTTGACAGGACAAATTGAGGTGTTAATATTTTCAGCAGTGTTTCTGAATGACATTTTTTACCCTTCTTAACTCACTTCACAGAGAATCCAGGGACGTCCAAAGACCTCTCAGCGTGGTTCAACCTGTTCGCTGACTTGGATCCCCTCTCCAACCCTGATGCAGTCGGCAGAAGCGACACAGAGCACGAACTTCACAACGCATAGTTCTTCCTCAGCGTCATGGTTTATCTGAAATGGGTACCTTTGTTGGTGGGAACAGCAGACTGTAGCTGCCAGCGTGATTAGAGAACAATCAGATGGACCACACACACAATCGTCTTCTCTTTAGACTTCAGTTACAGTAGATATAGAGCTGAAACAATTAGTCAGCTAATCAATAAGTCAAAGGAAAAACAACCAGCAACTCTTTATAATAACCATCATTAAAAAATGGTTAATTGACAGTTAATTAAACCTAAGTTAAAGGTCCAGTGTGTAGGATTTAGAAGGATATGTTGGCAGAAATAGATTATAATACAATAAGTATGTTTTCTTTCGTGTATAATCTCCTTGTTGTGTTTTCGTTACCTTAGAATGAGCCGTTTATATCTACATAGAGAGCGGGTCCTTGTCTACGGAGATCACTGTGTTGCACCACCATGCACCACACACTAACCTAACACTGGCTCTAGATAGGGACATTCACGTTTTCGCATCTCCCACCGTAGTCAGCAGCCCCTCTGCTGCTGAAACTGCTTTACTCAGTGTTTTTACCGGTTTAAATCACCTGGGGTCTCATTTATAAACACTGCGTACGCACAAAATGAGGCGTAAAATAAGCGTACGCCATTTCCCACGCAAAAGTTGTGATCTATAAAAGCAGACTTGATGGAAGAAACTTTGACCCATGCTTACAAATATTTTGGAGACGAGAAATTGGCGACGCAGATGGTGAGGTGAAAGCCTGATTGTAGAAACTGTCAAATATTTTTTTGGCGCACGTCATTTTTGGCTTTTGTCCGTACGTTAATTTCTAGTTAGAGCCTATGCACTGTTTTATAAATGAGACCCCTGGTTTGTTTGTTTTGGAGAGGAAGAGACCTCTGGGGAAAATTTAGCTCCGAGTAAAAACCACCTGAATGTGTGGATCTTAACTCATCAGTTAAAAAAGTTGAGGACTGAGATCGAGGCTAGAGGCCTGTCTCCAACATGCCAAATAGCATCTGAGAAACACAGATTTGTAACGTGAAACTGGTTTATTCAAACCAATTATTAACCATTAAAAAAACTGTTAATACAATATATAAAATGTTGTGTGTGCAACAATAAACTGTTAAAAAACAAAAAATGACAGCATTATTAATTATCATTTTGTTGTCCGTTAAAGGTTAAATAATTTAAGTTTAATTTACCATCAATTTACTATTTATTAATGACGGTTATCATTAAGTGTTGTCAAATATTGTGATAATCGATCCGTTATTTCAGCATTTTTCAAGCAAAAAAGCCAAATATTTTAGAGGATATGCTGATTTCTTTATCATATATGATAGTAAACTGAATATCTTTAGGATTTTGACTATAATAATATAAATAAATAAAATAATGTGATGTAAAATAAATTAGAATGGGCTTCATCTGATAGAGGTAACACTTAACTGACTTATGCCCAAAGACTATATTTAGTATGATAAGGAAAAATATTTGTCGTGATTGGTGTAAAGTCTTAAAAATTTGGTACAGACAAACATTGCGGAAAGAAAACGGTACAATGTAGAATTTTCTGGATCAGATAAAAAAACTTGCGCTTTTATCAATAGTCAAAATCAGGATCACTAAGAAAAAAGTACGTGTGCATATGTATCCTTGATATCAACAGATTCGTTCGTAGTTCATAGATATCAACTACTTGATTGTGCTCCTTGTCGTCTCTGAGATACAGAGACACTTCAGGACACACTTCAGAATTTCATTTGCAGACACAAATAGGTTAATTATCATAATAAAATAATCGATGGCAGGATCTTTTTCTTGTTATAGCAAAATATATAACTGTGGCGGCCCCTTATTATACTTTCAAATAAGATGTGTTTGTTACTGCAAAAAACTCTGAAATGTCATTATAACAAAAAAAAAAGTTAGTTGAACAAAAAGGGCTCTTACGTTTAAATTATAACATTTAATATCATTACAGTATGTTATTATAATGAGAGAGATATCACTATACCAAGAGAAATGTTCCTGTTATTACAAGAAATGGATCTGATTGTTCTTTCTCATGGTGGTAGTATAGCGCTGCTGTAAAGAGTCCCACTAACAACTACCAGCTCTCGTCCTTTACAAGACGACCTTACTCAGCCTGTTGGCTCCTTCACTTGGGTTAAACACTTAGTGATGTTTAGCTTGGATACCTCAGTATGAGTTTGGAACAACAAGCCTTTGACATTAGCTGCCTTGGAAAACTGTAGTCTCTAGTAGCATCCATGCTTTATTTCTGATTCTCATTACTGAAGGCTGCGTACAGGCAGAGCTGCACAACAGCAGAGAGAAACATGACAAAGATCACAGTGCAATAGTTTGTGTGTTTACAAAAATACTGGAACATGAAGTAAAGTTACAGAGAAATATCCAAAAATAAAATGTATTTTTCTGCCATTGATCTACTGAAAACTCCAAGCCGGTTAAGTGATCAGAATTATTGACAGCTATTTGAAGAGGTGAACAAAAGTAAAGAGGTTATGCTTTTAAATTTGTTTGCCAAATGCTGTATTTGTGATTCCCCTTTGAATATATCCCACAACTTGTCATTACATAAAAATACACATATCAGTCGTTCATTACTGCATGTTGCATGCCTTGATTTTATGTTATCCAGTAAAAGTGACTGAATGAAAACTGTATTTATATTAATTTATTTTTCATCATTTGGACACATATTTATTTTGTTCAATTACTGGCGTTCATGGGCACTATATGCAGTTTTCATTGGATTGTTTTCGGAGCCAAACTACCTGGAAGTACAATCATAAACTGATTTTAACTACAATGCTGCATAAATTAAATATATATATCAGAGTAAATGCCTTAATCGAATCACAAATCAACAATATAGAACCTCATCATGATTATTGGATTCGTGAATTTATTTTGTTGTAACGTAGCCTTGTGTCATTTTTGATGTTGGAGCCATGTGACATTTAAAATCATAACCAAATACATTGACTGCCTTACCTTGACTCCTGTTTGTACATAAATGTCATGCTTGTGAATACTGATATTACTCCTCTATGTGTCTGTCTGTCTACGGCCTTTGAAAAACAACATACATACCAATCCAAAAAGAGACTTTTTTTGTTTTCTTTATTGAAAAAACACACACAAGATCTACATAAAAATGCGTAATACACAGGAGAACTGAATCACCATTGCCAAACATGGCAACCATTTCTTAACTGCACTGCACAATGAGCTTGTGAATAAAATCAGAATTAGTATGATTGAAACTCTTGGAGCTGCAAGCAGAAGAGAGTATCTCAACTTAATTTGTGTGGAATGTGTTGCATATTGTTCATACTTGTGATTCTGTGCAAGTAAGTGGCTTGATAGACCAAAGTTTTGGAATGAAACATTTACTCGTTCAAAGTTTACCTGGTCTACATCAGTCATGTTTTTTTGTTTTTTGTTTTTTGTTTTTTAAATATGTTCTGGTGTTAAACTTGTGCAGGTAACGTTAGGGCACATCTGGTTGGATCTCTATATTGAGCCAAACTGTGTTACACAAAAACTGTTAGTGTAGCGTTACTTCAAACAAAAAAATCAATTGCACACTCAAGTTCTGATTGTTTTAACTTACAAGTTGGTCTAAAATAAAAATAGTGATTATCATCTCACTTCCAAGTAAGTGCTTAGGCTTGGTCCAACGATTATCGCCTGTGTTTGAAACACTCTGAACCAGTGTTTGTATGTAGCTGAAGTGTTTATAAACCAAATGCACATAAACATTCTGCTTCTGGCACAAAAACAGTGCCCCCTGCATCCCAAATACATGACAGGCCTGTCGTCATTCTGCAGTTTGCTTTGGTACATATTTAACAAAGGGGAGAAACAAACGACATATCTGTCAGTTTGTGAGGGTGTAGCTTATGTAGCTAGTTCGGCTTACACGAGTAGTCACGGTTGACTAAAGCAACAGCGATCTCTGGAATGTGTCATAGCACCTGAAACTCTAACCTGAAGAGGTTAACGCAAAAGTCACCTGTCACGAGCTGTGACACCAATCGGTTGATTCAGTCCGTTATAATCTCCCTCTCCAGGGGAAAAAATAAAACATTTCTGCAAAAGACTGGAATGTCTTTCTATAGAAGTCATAAACACTGGGGAAAGGCAACATAGTCCAAGCAAGTACATTCCACATGACCTGAGTTATTGTTCTGTGTAGTGTGGGGCAATAAAACAAGGCAATGGGGGAGTTGTGTGCTTTGTGATTGGTTATTTGATCGCTGAAAAACAGCTGATATTTTGCATTTTTTGTGTTGAGCTAACCGAGTTTTAATAGGGATCAGACTAGAATGCAGATCTAGGTCTTGGCTTGTCGGCCTGTTGGGTGGAGCGCTCAAGCAAACTGCTGGTTTCACAAAGACATTGTGCTACAAATACTTTAAAATAAACAAATAAAAAAATAGGCCATGGCCTGTATCATTCTGAGCCATGTCTTAACAAGTGCAAACATTGTGGTTAACGTGGGGCGATGTATTCTGACTGTGAGACATCCTGATATGCTAAATACATAAACCGAGCATTTCCATCCTGTCAAAAAGCTTACGTGTATGTACTTAAGATGTTAGCTCGCTGAACACTGAACAGCTAATAAGCTGGTTAGATAACATGAGTAGAATGTGTTTCTCATAGCTGTCTCTCGTGAAAGATTTTTCCTTTTTAATTTCATCTTGATAAACTGCCGGCACCTCGTGACACAATCATGTGAGCAGTCATTTCTACCTTTGTTTTTTTTTGCAAAAGAAAGCAAAGCTATTTTTGTTAGGGGTGTTGTCGGGGTACGGAGGAGAAGACTAGGTTAGTGATGGGTGACGGGAGGCTGTGCCCGAGGTCAGCACATTTCTGACAAAACCATCAGGCGTGTACGGCAGGACGCCGGTACCATTATCGTACTTTTGTTTGTCATGTCTAGACCTCGGGCAGTCCCTGCTGGCTAACGTTAGGATTAACGGAGTACGAATATTTTTTTGTTTGTTTTTGTTTTGCCTTTTTTTGTTTTAAAACCACACCACCTGAGCAGCTGTAATGTTTCAGCTGTAGGTGGTTTGGTTATGAATACCTGAGAACTAGCTGGTGAGGAGAACTTGTCCTGAGCCATCTTTCCCCACGTCTGTGTCGGGGCTCTGGCTGTCTGTGCTGTTGTCTGTTTTCATGCCTGTGCTTGTGTCGGTGCTCCAGTCAGCGGAGGCCGGAAAGGTAGCTAGTGGTGCAGTGGGCAGAGTTGGGGTCACCTGAGGCCCTGGGCTGTCGTTGCCATGGAGACCGAGGTTGGCGGAGGAGCAGGACGAGGGAGAGACGGGGGAGAAGAGGGAGGAGCAGAGGAGTTTGACGGGGCAGAAGGCCGAGCCTCTGGGAATGAAGTTCACCTTGTTTTTGTCGGGGCACGAGAAGAGAGGGAAGCCTTTTGATTTGCCAGACCTGAGGACGACAGGAAAAAGTACTGAGCTCAACTTTGTTTTATTTTCTGTTTATATAACTATTCTGATTAAATGCAAGCTGTTTATCCTACACAGCCGTGTTGCCCTCATCTCTACCACCCACAATGCAAATCAGGTTGTTAGCTTCACTGTACTATTGTCTAACAGGATCTCACAGTCCATGAAGTAGTACAGTAAACTGCATTGTTTTCCTTTTAATGATCAGCACACTCTGTGCTCACACTGCACACAGAAGCACAGAAGTGTCAAATATGAGGGTGCGTTTAGAAACACAGATTGTAAAGTGAAAAACAAGAAAAAATACTTACACCATCTCCTCAAACACTTTGACCTTCTCACAGCCCTCTGGAGGTTCCCGCTTGAACATGTAGCTGTTGTTAGGTTTGGGAGATGTGGCAAACTTGGGGAGAGGAGAACTGCACACACTGTCTGGAAACACACAGTAAAGAATATTACATAGAAGGAGGAAACAAACCTGATGGTAACTGATTTTTAGGAGCTGCAGTCTGCTTACAGTGGGGCTGTGCGTCACTTCAATACGAGATTCTGTACTGATACTAAATCAATCGACATTTTTTACACTCGTCTAGTTTTGTGGCCTGTAGCTCCAGTGCTATATGCAAAACGTTAATGTACAGCCCTGCTATCTATTTCATATAATTTTTTATTTACATGTTGTTCAACTGTATATTTTCAAACAGGAAATAAAACCCCTGTCTTTGCATTTTATTTTGATCACAGTCTGTTTTTATAAAAGTGCTTGTAACATCTCAGATTTGGCTTTGACTTGCAACTGAACATGTAGTCCATTTTATAGAAAATACCGCGATATATATCATGTATCGCCAGTCAGCCTGAAAATACAGAAACATACATTTTTATGCATATCGCCCAGCCCTACTTTACTTATATTTTTACGTCTTAAAAAGAATGCTCCTTCGACTCAGCATTGCCGTCCTGTAATTTTCTCAGACTCACGTTGGACAGAAAGAAAAGCTCCAATTTATGCACGCATTCTTCTTCTTTGTTAAAACCTGGTGCCCTGTTTACCCACAATGCAACTCAACCACCAACACCTTGGTTAGCGATCCAGGTGTGTTAAAGCATGGTCTTTACTTGCTGTAGCGTCCCCGGCACTAGGTTTGCATGCCAGAAAATGACCTAATTACCTCTTTCACACAGAGCACGAAGGCCCTGAAAGTTCTCTCTGCGCTTAGTTGTGCACGTCTGAATTTTTGTGATGGGGCACCCACTGTGCTTTTCAGTTCAACATGAACACTTGCAGAGGAGCTTTGCCTGTACAGACATTTCTACAACTCTTCATTGAGGGACTGCAGGGACGGTCAAACTGCCTTAATTTCTTGGAGAGAGCTGCCACACTGGGGACAGAAGAGGCTGTTTGCAGCAGGGTGTGGAAGAACATGAGAGATGTCAGTAAAAGCTAGAAAACAGTCTCATGGAAATAGTGGCAACCTGTGGTATAAAATAATTATGACTTGGAGGTAAGCGACTAATAATTATAGTACACAAATGCAATGTTTGGCAAAATGCTGGTGTTTACTACCGTTGCCAGGCAGCCTACTTTTCCCATCTTGTTCTCCTGGTAACATTTGTTGACTTTGTGCTCATGCACAGAATATTTTGTTCGTATGCTCCCTGGCGTTTCGGAACATATTGCAGCGAACAACGTGCTAAGCATAAAGGTTTCTGTGCATCTACTAACAAAGCTTAATGTAGCCTTACGCAGAGATAAAGAGCGGGCTACAGAGGTCTGATGAGGTCTCTTATTCCTAAACTCTGACTCAAGTGGCATCACACTGAGTAAATTTTGGGCTTCATACAACTTTTGCCCCCTGACATGTAGAGCTCCTCTCTGAAGCTACAAACAAACAAACAAGAGACACACCTTTGTCGATGTCCTCTGCAGAGCACGGGCTTCCATCAGGAGAGTGGACGTGGTCGGAGCTGCAGGGGCGGGGCGAGGGGCTGGAGTCACCACTTGAAGGGGCCTGTGTGTCTGTGTCACGTGTGTCACTGCTGCTGTAGTGATGAGGAGGGAAAGGGGCACGGCGGCCATCTACCGCATCCATGGCCTGTGAGGTCGGAGTGCAGAAGAGGTGCTGAGAGGTCTTGCGTTAACGTGCATGAATCCTAAACTGTCAGAGTAGTGGTGCTTAATGTTCAGAGAGAATCATAACTCAAAGGTCAGTCAATCACCCGTAACAGGCAACATGTCCTTGAAAAACCCACGTGAACTGATGAAGCGCTCCTGCGCACCTCGCTGGACGATGTCACTCAGGGTTAAGAGCATCAGCTGAAATATCCTAAGTCTAAGAATGAAGGAAACTGAAAGGCCTCTGGTGTGTTTGCCTGTCTGTTAAAAGGGCAACTGGAGAAGCAAACACCACACCAGATGGTAATATTTGACAGTAGATGAACAGTTTTCTATTTTGGCACAACAGATTCAAATAGAAGAGCAGGAGAAAAAAGGGCTGGGTGCACAGCAGACTGTAAATCTGTAGTTATACGTATGTTTGTGTGTGTGTGTGTGTGTGTGTGTGTGTGTGTGTGTGTGTGTGATTTTCTAAGAGGGGAGTTTTACAGACCTGCCAAGGTTCACTACCCCACGTCAGTCAAGATTTAAGGGTGTCCTCACCTCTAAGCGATTTAATTCAATATGAGTAAGAATATATGCGTCTTACTCTCTGACTGTATGGTGTGCAATGCTGTGACGTTATTAAACTGTGTTTGCATGCATTTAATAAATGTTAAAAATAGCCTATAAAGTATTTTAAATTGAACTTATGGGCCTGTTTCACTCGTTTATCAACAAACATTACTGATGTAAACAAATCTTTCACAGATGTGAAATATATTTATGATTGTTGCCTAATGTTACATCTGCGTCAAGTAGCATTGTGTTAACTGACACCTGCAGGACAGTGGGTGTACTAATGAGAGTAGTTAGGGCTGTGATGGTATGGTCGGTTCTTACTGTGATGAAAAAACATCATGTCCCTGCAGTTTGGTGGTATACCGCTCCAGCCAAGTTGCAAAAACTTTATCTAGATAGCTTTTCTACTGGGCATTAATCCCACACTTACATAAACGCTTCAGGTCACGTTTAAGCCTGTGAGACTCAGCTATGACGCAAACCTGCACAGAGCCGGTGCAGACAGCTGCGTAGATTAAAATGTGAGGGTATCTGTTGCATCTGAAGCGCCTGCAGTCTAGATACAGGGAGACAAGCAACTGAAATTTTGTTTTCCTCAAGGAGCCCTTGAACAAAGGATGGAAGACAGTCAGTGATGATGACTAGAATGATTCTTGTGTTCATTGTATTTCATATCACAACCTCCTGCAACATAAGAAAAAACTGGATTGACCACCCCAAGGTTGTACATCTCCTCGCTCCAGTCAAGTTTTTCCTACAGATCACATTCATGTCTGTGAAAACATGGATGCTTCACACAAATCTTCCTCCCAGCAACACAAAAGATCTACACAATCAGCACAGTTTCAAGATCAGTGTCACTAATTCAGTATTTGACCAAATGCCCCCCCTTCTGTTCCTGAGATATGACGTGGAGTAATGGCCAGATGAGTGTTTTATGCAGAACATTATGATGTCACAGTGAAGCTGACCTTTGACCTTGTGGATATAAAATGTCATCACTTATCATCATATCCTGTTAGATATTTGTGTGAATTTGTCATAATCAGTATTACAATCCTTGAATAATGGTCACACTGACCTTGACTTTTGACCTTCCACCACCAAATTCTAATCAGTTTATTCTTTAGTCCAAATGGCCGTTTGAGTCAATTTTGGAAAAATTCCCTTATAGTATTCTATACTAAGGGACATTCACGAAAATGAGATGACTGCAAGGTCACACTGACCTTGACCTTTGACCACCAAAATGTAATTAGTTCACTGGTGAGTCTAAGTGAATAATTGTGCCAAATTTGAAGAAATTCCCTTAAAGTGTTCTTAACATATCGCATTCACAAGACTGAGACCGACAAGATCACAGTGACCTTGACCTTTGACCTACAACCAGCAAATTCTAATCAGTTCTTCACTGAATCAAAGTAGGCGTTGGTGCCAAATTTGAAGAAATTCCCTCAAGGTGTTCATAAAATATCCAGTTCCCAAGAATGAGATGAACACAATGTCATGGTGACCTAGACCTTTGACCACCAAAATCTAATCAGTTCATCATCGTCAAAGTGGACATTTGTGCCAAATTTGAAAAAACAAAAACAAAAAAGACAACAACTCTTGAGGCGTTCTTGAGATATCGCTTTCACAATAGGATGGACAGGCAGGCAGATGGACCAGTAAACCAGATAACTTAATACATGTAAGAAACTGTGTAGGCGACATGTACAGCTACTTTATGATTAATTAATTAACACACTTTGCAGCCATTTTGTTGACGGTTGTGCACCAACTCTGAGATATTTAAAGTGTCAGAAATTCCAGTCACAATTCCAACTAGGAAGCTGCTGTAAGCAACTTTTTTTCCACTTGGCTGCTGGTAATTACAGTCTGTACGATGTGACATGGCGTAGTGTCAGGTGAGTAATCTTAGAAACTTGCAGTTCAAAACGCACTCTGAATTTTTTTTTTAAAAGACTGCTTGACCCGTTGCTGGTGTGTACACATCCCTACCTGTATCCCTTGCTCCCAGTCCTCTCTGATAAACACATTTTCCAGCTCGTGGCTGATGCCCTCCACACTGCTCGGCACTCTGCATATGAGGGATTTTGGCACAGGGATTGCTGACAGGGCTGATGAAGTTCCCTTGAACTGGAAAGATGACATAAAAACTAAGTGAAAAGAAATGTATACATCAAAATAATACGATAATGCATGCAACCTGTGCAATTGTGCAATAAATACATAATGCTGCATATGTCTTTAACACCACAATCTGCCTGCGGTATTGAATTGTCGTTGATCCAGTTTCATGAGATATTTAATGGGTGGAGGCGTTCGGTTTAAATACATGTCTCTAAAGTGGGATTAAATGTCATAGGGAACAAAAACACAGCCATGATTGTGATCTCCCACATGTGTGTATGTGGCATAGCATATCACTATTTATGTTCATTTTCCCACAGTGGTCGATGTGTTCTGTTGCTGGGCATCTGTTAATGAATGAACTGCAAACAAGGAGAGGACAGAACATGCCCGGACACATTCCCTCTCTCTTCCCCTCTTCTGACACAACTGGTCAGTCTGGACTCATTAACTAGACTTCCTCGGTCACATGCAGCGTGACATACGTCATCATGAACTTAGATTATGATCAAATATGGCCTCTACACAAGACTAAAGGAACTATTACTACAGTATACAGTCACGTCCATACTACTCCTACTCCTCAAATAGTGACTACATAATTAATGCATGCTGACAACATACAGCTTAATGACCATTAAACTAATGCAGCAAATGAAAAAGTGAAACCCTGATTTCTAATTTGATGCCATTAACTGAGTAATACAGAAACCCACTCTGCTGAACCCCACTTTATTCATATTCAGTCCTCTTATCTCAAACAGCTGTGATACGGTTTGCTCACCGTCTGTTTCATTTGTATGTGTTTTTGTTCGGCTGCTAAGCTACCTTATCATGTCCCTGCTGTCAGGGTAAAATCTTGCATCACCAAAGACAGAGTTAGTTAATGTTTTTTTTTCACCTGAACAGAGCACACCAGTGACTCAGTTTGGCAAGGCATGAATACTGACATGAATAACTCACCTGCGGTTGGCATGCAGTGCCATGCTGTGCCTGTTGCTGCAGCTGCAGTGAGCTCTGCTCCCTGTCTTTGCTCTGCCGGCTGACCTGTTTGCTGCGCTGCAGCTGCAGTCTCAGTTTAGCAATCTGCTGGAAGAAAAGTAACATCACTTCAGCAAATGACAGATCACAGTCCTGAGGGTAGTATTTCTATCATCGTGCAAATTTTAACTTTTCCCATCAGTGAAATGAATGAAGCCAGAAGATAAGCATATTCGCTCCCATGAAGGGTCATTCTGTTCAAAATCATTTAAATATTTGGTTTATAGAACTCTAAATATCTTGTTTTATTAGACTAACAGTTCTAAACCCCAAAATCATCAATTTACTACAATGTCAAGACAAAAAAGCTGCAAATTCTCACATTTGGGGAGGTGGAACTATTAAATGTTTTGCATTTTTGCCTACAAAAGTGAATAAAATGCTTGGTCAAAATCATTGTCCAATCGTTGCAGCTCTACTTTATTTAAAATATAAAAGAATTATAATGGAGGTGCTAATCACTGGCAATAGGCTTGATTGTAGAAAACAAGTGTCGCACACTGTGGCTCCATATGCATTTCTTGTATTTTATTTTGATGACGTTTCGGCTGTTGGGCCTTCTTCAAAATATGTTTGCTGATCTTGAAAAAGGCCCAACAGCCGGAACATCATCAAAATAAAAGAAATGCACATGGAGCCAGAGTGTGCGACACTTGTTTTTACAGTCAACTCTACTGTTCTTCCTTTTTGCAGCAGCTGCGAGAACAATGATTATGTTTACATGCACAAAATAGTCCAGTTTTTGCCCTTATTCCCAAAGACAATATTCCTATTAGTTTCCTACTGATGGCGACTTTTTCGACCTTGCAAACACAGCCTCCCTCTTTCATTCCTTCAACAACCCTCTTAAAAAGGTCAGTGTTGCGATATTTGCGCATACCCAAAAACCTCTTGATATTCAAGTCTTTCATAACTTTCAAAAGTAGGTGTGTTTCTCCTTCCAACCAGAAATGTGGGCTTTTCTTTTGGGCATACACTTCTACCCCAGCCCTGCAAACTGTTGGCAAGTTGTTTTTTGTACAACATATCCATGACACTGCACAGAGCCAGCTGTAAACAGACAAGAGGCTCGTAAACTGCCGTGAAAACTCCAGTTGAGAAGCATCCGAACACGCTGTATACATGTCCAAATAATGCTATAAAAACCCAAATATTATCGACATATCCCATGTCTTAAACAGAAAACGCTTTATTTGGAAAAAGACCTATTTCAGAATATTTAAACAAGATAAGCTGTTTACATAACCAGCATCAAATTCATAATACTGTCCTATTCAGAATAATAGTAGAATATTAGTGTGCATGTAAACATAGCCAATGAAAACCTACATTAATGCGGATAGTGCGCTTTTTGTCAAATTATTATTTTCTTATCATTTTAAGGATGGCTGGGAGGCCGTTTTCTCTTATGTGGCTTAAAACACTAATACACAAATATATGTGCTACTGTACACAAAGGATTGACTTGACTTGAGCATTGTTGCAAGCTAGAATAGTGCATATCCTCAGCCATGCACGTCCGATGATGAAACAACTTAGGTCAATGGGTGTTTCTGCATCTGGCCCAGTATCAGCCTAAAAACAGGATACCCTTTGTGAGTCTAACAGACGCAGTTGTACTATGCAGACAAAGGTGTGGTCTTCAGTGCTGATCTTGTAATCCTGGCAACACAGTCAACAAAGAGACTTGCTCTTTTCATAGATGTCCTCCCACACATGTAATCGCAGAGGTTAGAGAGCTAGAATACAGTTCACTACATTCATCAAGTGACCACAGCAGTCGATAATGACAAGTCCAGGCAATCCTGATGTAATCTCAGAGGATGACAAAGAGAGGTTTCCTGGCTGTGCTATGCTATTGATCGCACAGGCCAAGGCCCTGGAAGGGTCTCAAAGTCAAAAACTAGTTATAGTGTATGACTACGTTAAAACTTGAATATGATGCATGAAATCTGATTCACACAATCAGATTTCATGAGATCAAACTGTGAGTCCATGGCCGAGGAAGTAGGTTTTGTGTGTCTCTCGTGGCTGTGTCTTAAATGTGTCTCTTCCTGTCTCCTCTTTTCAACTTTTGGTACTGCTAAACTGCTGTGTGACGACCGGAGTTTATATCCACACAATGTCCTGTTCTATTCACAATAAATGCCTAAAAAAATGTATTTTCGCCTTAACAATTTAATAGTAATGTGAGTAAAATCAAATTATTAACCATCCAGATCTGTCACTTAATGCACCAAGCACAGACTGTATATAAAGATGGGTAACATGTCTTCACTTCCCACGTTCTCCACCTCCCAGCATACAAAAATGAAGCCAAAATATCCAAGACACAGGTGCTGCCATCTTGCACTGGTGACGTCATTAGGAGCCAGAGTCTACGCAGTAGCGCTCAGGAAGTAGATTCAGTTCCTGCCCAAACACACATCCAACCTAACTGCACGTAGCACCACTGATCGCGAGCCACTGAAGCCAGCCACCAGGGGACGACCGAGATGTTTTGGCTTTACTTTCGGGGAGCTGTCATGCCTCTCAGAGTGTGCCATATCATATTGTTCGCAATAATACCGGAATTACTTTTAATATGATGAGAAAATTCATATTGTGATATTTGCAATATTTCAACTTGTTGACACACTGACATCATACCGCAAAAATACCCTGAAATTTTTTTAGGGACATATTATTTTAGGGACGTACATTAAACTGTACAACTCCTCCCTCTGATGATCGGACTCATTTGGCTATTTATAAAACAAAACACACAATATAATTACTCATTCTTATTTCATTTATAACGCTACAACCATTTCATTGTATATTGTATATATTTCAGATTGTCTACTTTACTATTTTATTATTTATTTTATTTTATTGTCTACTTTAATATTTTATTTTATTTTATTTTATTTTAATGTCTACTTTAATATTTTATTTTATTTATTTCATTGTCTATTTTAGTATCTTATTTTATTTATTTCATTGTCTATTTTAGTATCTTATTTATATCTTCATCTTTATCTCTTGTTTCCATTCATGCTGTATTTCTATTTCTACTTTGCACGGAGCATTGGAACAAAAACAATTTCCCCCCGGGGATTAATAAAGTATTCTGAATCTGAATCTGAAGGATATCGCCCATCTTTATATACAGTCATTGGCATTATAAGACAAGTGTAATTGTAGCCTTGCTAGTAGTAATGTGCAAGGGTTTCTGAGTCAGGGTCTTTAACCTCGCTCATTATCAGAGCTAATCTCATAAACCTACAAACCAGAGCTCAAAGTTTCTGGTACTGACCATCTCTAGTTTAGTTTAGTTTAGTTTAGTTATTTTCCAGCTGACATCCTCTGTGGTTTGTTTACATGAACGGTCAACAGATAGGTACAGTGCTTTGTTTACATGACGTTTACATGACGAGACAGAGTGAGGGGAAGAGAAGGTGGAAGGTGGACTATTGCACAATGTTTCTGTGAGTTATAAAAAACTTACTCAAAACGCTTTGTCGACTGATGACCCATCTGCCTGAAACTCACGAAACTTGTTAACGTATTGACCTACCATACCTGTGTTTTAAGAGGCTGAGCTTTATACACCATCTTTAGCATTTTGGTCATGAAAGCAATTTATAGAATTTAGTTCTGCGTGCTGATCGTTACATCTGGTGCAATAGAATCTTGACAGTGTACTTGTGAGTTCGTAAAAAAGTCCTGAATGGTGAGGTTTTTTTTCTTCTCAACACTAACAAAAACCCAAGACATCTGTGTGTGATTATTATGTTGGAACTAAATATTGATGATACACAGATGTCAGATCTTGTGCTTTAAACAGGAAAATATGAATGTCTATTGTGTTGCATGCGCATCTGTAAGGCTTTTAAGAACACTAGTAGTTACCCTAAATAAGTTCACTGAGTGCGAGCTAAAGAAGGAACAATATGGCTGTATCACCCCTGAGGAGCTCCCGAACCGTCTCTCAAAAACAACAGGCCATAATAAGATGCGAGGGTGCAGTTGAGTGGGAAACAGAGGGGAGAAGGAGGTTAAATTTAGACTGTGGTCTGGAGAGTTGGAGAACTAATAGCTCCATGTGGTCAGCTGGTTGGCCACCAAACCCAACAGATAGACAGGAGTGGAAACCAACCTTAAGGAGCATAATATTTAGGCTGACCTCAGACCCTGACAAATAAAACACATTTCGAATAAATGGAATGAACCTCAAAAATGACAAAAACATGCTCTTTGAACTGGATGTGTGAATGCTTTCAGCCAGTCTGGCCTAGTTTAGTGTCAGATGGACTGATGACACGACTCCAGAGTGTTAATCCACTGTCTGTGGTGTTTGTGGACTTGGCTGAACCAAAGTTAGGACAGGTGAATCTACCTCTTTGAGGTGGTCTGCACTGCCCCAGGAAGCTGACCGCTGGTGAGGACTTCCCTGTTCTGCTCCCTCATCAATCCAGAGACCTGGAGTCTGAAACACAGGAATACATGCTGACACATAACCACATGCTACAAAACTCTATATCATTTCCTCAAACACACACAGCTCATGCTATTGATATGTGCTCCGAATGTACTGTACAGCACCATGGCCACCAAATAGCATATCTTATGTTGCTGAGGCAGACAAAGATAAATATGATGTACTCCTGCACAAGAGCATAAACACAAGTTACCATTGTATGTGGCTGCAAAGATATCTAAAAAGAATACAGTACATCATCCTTAAAGCCTAAGATTAGCTAACCTGCAGTTTCTGAGATTTGTTTACGTAGCAGGTTGGCCTAATGTTTACAGAGATCAGATCAATGAGATGTCACAGATGCAGTCCTTGTTTAGTCTTGGTGCGTACATGCATAACAACAGTCACCTGTCCTATTAAATGCCCTTTATTTATTTTTTACATATTTTGATTGCACATTGAAGGAATACTTCCCACACAACGTGACAATGTGTATACCAGTCAGTCATGCCATTTCACCTCAAATTCATGAAGGTTTTCTCGCATGCCTCCATGGAAAATGGCTAACAAATGGATTTATTAATTGACTGAGAACCACATTTAAAACAGCTAAACTGTATCCAAACATCTGTTTACAAACTGTCACACAACTTGCGCAGTATAATCCAAGTCTCATTTATCCTGTTGTTCCCAAACACATGCATTCTCACTAAAAAAACAAACTTCTCTTTGAAGAGAGCATAAAAAAAATTCACAATCTGTTTAGTTTTAAATAGTAATGTTTTGGTGAAAATGAATGTGTCTGGGAAGTACTGAGCATACCACTGGATAAATGAGACTTGGATTATGCAGCACACATGTGAGAGTTTGTAAGTTTGTGCTGGGTTTACACGTGGTTACCAATCAATGAATCCACGTGTTCACTGTTTTTCATGGAGGCATGAGAGAAAAGCAAAGTTTTCTTCACGAATTTGAAGTAACATGACATAACGAACTGATACAAATGGCCATTTTGCAGGTGAACTATTCCTTTAAAATACAGTTATTCAAAATGATATGAATACAAACACATTTTTGGCAACATATACTTAAATATACATACATTTTGAGTAAATAAAAGATTGTGCATGAGAAGTAGGACCCACAACACTTAAAGACTTCTTCATGAAATGTCCTTGATAAAGACACTGAATAGCCGACCTGCCACCTCACTGTGAATTCACTCCAGATGTGAGCATCAACAAAATACCTTAAAAGTAAAATGTTTGGACAAGCACTTGAAAGAGATGTGGGTGAAGGCAGTAATGAGTGCTGTGTGCTCAAAAGTAAAGCTGCAAATCTGGAATCAATGAAAATGAGAAAAACAGTCATGAGATACCATCCCCGAGGAAAGAACTACATTCAACAGGAAAAACAAAACTCATAGCATGTTTGATTGCTTCCATTAGTGAGCCAGGTTAAGATAAATACATCTGTGATGCGGCTAAACCGGCTCGTACATTCCAAAATCCACCAGCCATTTAACAAGCCAAACATAGCTCGAGAAAATAATTACAGGGCTACCAAATAATATAGTGTTACCTGCCTTGTCAGCCAACGGTGACATTTACAAGGACTTTACTAGCAGCTGGTGCTAGTTTCCCACCTGGGAGTTTCCATCTTTCATCTCTAACTATTTAGCCTATTTACACCACACTGATTTGGCAGAATCAATATAGAGCACAATGCCATGCTTATGCCAGGCTTACATTTCTATCATTAGTAAACCAGTAAGAAAACATTTGATATACAAAGCATCCCCTGCCAGAGAGCATAGAGGCAGCTCTGTCTCACTAAACATGTCTTTTAGACCTCTACTGCATAAACAAGGAAACGGTTAAGTTATGTAAATATATGCAAAAAGAGAAACGGACTGAGGATGTTTCATAGTCGTCTGAAACCACATACTTCCTCCTGATTATGCATATCAACAGTGCCTCTGGTCTTCCAACAAATCCTCAAACATCTGACGTTTTATGGTCAGCAGCACAGTGGTACGAAACATCTTAAATGTCAGTGTCTTCACACTGCCTTATGCCTGACCCCACACAGACAGAAAAACCTCTATGGCTCTCCAACTACTGCACAAGCCTTGCCTATGATATGGAATATCACACTGTGAATAATGAGGAACACCCGTGCAGCCGTTTGCGTTGGATTGCTGGCACTGGCTTCCCCAGAAAAGGACAGCGAATTAAATGGGTGCTTGTGCTCTCATAAAAGGGACCACTGTGCTTGGCCACGTTGGATGGCAGATGTGTAGCTAGCCCTTAGCATTAACATTTTGTGCATGGCCTATGGATTGGCTTGTGCTGTTTGATGCCTCTGCCAGACATTGAGAGACTTGATGCTGAAGCTTAATCTGTTCATACAAAATGCAGATTGCTGTAAAAGGGTACACAGGCTTTATGGAGCTGTGGATTTAGCCGTTGAGGAAAAACTAAGTTCTCACAGATGTTCTGTGACGTCAAATAGGGAATGCTACTCACTACTTGCAACTCAATGAAATCTGAAACGCTTTGTTTGGCAGTAAGTGATATGTGTAGGTTTTCATAGGGTTGCGTAATATTGGTTAAAAATGAAAAGCACAATCATTTTGAGAATAGAAAAAAAGGGGGGATTATGTTCGCGGTTCATTGTCATTCTGTCATGGTGTTATTGGGCATATTTTGAGTTACAAGTTTTTCTTCCTTTTGCTTCATTATCATTTTTATGAGCCTTAAATCAAATTTAACGTTTTTAATTTGACGTATGGCAAAGAATGTGTGCTTAGTGTTAAAAGCGATGACAGGAAGTTGTTTGTTTCAGACACAAAAAGGGACTTTTTACATTCAGCTGTGCTAAAATTGCAGACAAACTCCCCCACACTAACTTAAAGAGGAATACATATCTTGCAACGTTTCAGTACCTAGACCTTTTGAAAGTCTAGTCACCAAAAGCTGCAATAACTGTTTGTCTTTTGCAAGTTAGAGTGCAAGAGTTTGTCTGCAAATTGTGTCCTACTCGGCCCTCTCAAACGCACCTGTTTTGAAATAGATGTATTAAGTATTCTTCTGTTTTAAATCTAAAGAAAGCTAACAACTTTAGAGATGTCAAAGTAGGAGTTGCTTTTTCTTTATGGCCGATATCTCAGTTTGCAGTTTAACTCCCAATTTTCCCTCAGGTATATATAGTATCCGAAGACAGTTAAAAATACTGCAGGCTATCTTTCATGATTGACACCCCCCCCCTCCCAAAAAATGGCTGTTAACAAGAACACCCACCTTTATTTACCTCAGAGGCTCTTTTATCATGCTAGCTCTTGAACTTCCGGCCTGAGTTGTGTGCTTTGTAGACTTGTGTGCCAGGTGTTGTGCCTGATAGTGTACTGCTGTGCAGATAAAACTCTGCCTGCAGCTTGCTTCCCATTATGATTCCCACCCAAAGGGTTACATGCAGGCAACATCCTCAAGAATCCAGCTCTGTTCCAAAGCAGGAAATAATGACTGGGCTTCAATAGAGGTGCAGTGGAATTTGTGCTGGTTTGTTTAGATTGCATGCCGAGACATGCGAGCGGAGAGTGCCACTGCTATCATTTGATGGGATTTAGAGATGAGGAAAACATGCATTCTGATTTGGTGAGTTGGCTTTGTGCATCTGTTGTATTGTTCAGGTCTAAAACTCACTGAGCATTACAGAAAATGGATAAATGTCTCTAAGAATGCATTTTTTGTAGTTAGCTCCTGCTTTATTCATCCATTTCCACATAAACCAATAATCAACAACATACACATCAGATTACAATCCGCTCTTATGAAGCAGAAATGGGGTACAGTGATGGCAGATGCCATGTAATACAGCACTAAAGTAGGATTCAATGTGTGTGTCCATCTTAACATCCTGACTAATCATTTCCATACTGTTCATTGATGGTTCGATGGTGTTCATTATGTCTTCAGTTTCTAAATATGACTTTAGTTGTTCTTTTTTCCTCAGACAGGTGTTAGGATGTTACATACCTTGACATGTTTTGGCAGAAACTTCTGCCTTCCTCAGAAGGGTCACTTGGTGGTGGTTGCGACATGTCTCTATCGCCTCCTTAATATCAGCTGATTGACAGATCAGCCCATCACAACCACCGCCAAGTGACACTTCTGAGGAAGGCAGAATTTTCCGCCAAAACATGTCAAGGTATGTAACATCCTAACACATTTCTTGTTGTTCATTGATTCATTGATGGTCTATCCATTTTGGCAGCACTGCGTTTAAAGAGATGGAGCATCTACTCCTCTTTTGCATAAAGTTAAATCTAGGCTACTTTTTCCAAATTTGGGGCGTCCAGCCTGTGATACCCCTGAAAAACTTATTGTCGATCTAAAATGAAGACAGATTCAGCAACTGTGTGGCTTATTTCTTACCTCAAATGTTGTCAGATTTACATTTCGGTGAAATATTTTCTTAATTTCAAGAGATAGCTTCCAAACAAGCCACCATGTCAGTCTGGTTTGAAATCCAGGAGTTGACAGCCCACGCACCTAGTGGCACACCCATCAAATGTACAATCTTTGGAAGCGGCGCAACCCCCTAGTGTCCAAAAACACCCCTGTGGACATGTACCATGACACACCAAGCCAAAAGATGGATATCTGGCAACAGCAGGCAACATTAAAGGAGCTATACCTGACATTTAGACCATATGAGCCAGGATTGTCTGCACGTGGCTCTCAACATGGAGGTGGCTGAGCCAGCAGCTAACAGTGCTAATGATGGTAGCAGAGCTGACAGAGCTTGTGTTGTTAACATGAGGGGGAATCGTAGGGCTTCCGAAACGATGCCGTTTGCCACCGTGGGTCAGTACAGGGTAATCAGTGGTAACTATGAGTGCAGAACAGAGCGGAGGCAATTAGCTAGCCAGTGGAATACACACACAGGGACTCACATGCACTAACATGTACGCATGGCCAGACTGGCGACCACAACAAAGAACAGAGAAGCTCGAATTACAACACATACAAAGGGAGCATGGCTTCATTCTTTGCTCAGGACCCCATTACTTCACTATATCTTCACATAACAAATAGTTGTTTGCTGCCATCTCAGAATGTCACATAGAGCTTCTTTAAGCATTTGCTGACAAGTTGTGTTGGGCACGGTTGTTTTCATTAGCAGCACTCTGCAAAACAAAAGTCACTTTTACACTTCCTGTTCAAGAAGGATATGTTGCATTGTTATTCCTCTTCGCTGTTCTTTAGAAAAAGGTACGATTGCGGAATGGGGAAACGAAGTAGTCTCGCCTTTAAGCCAGTAGTGGAGGTAGTAACGAACAAATTAGTTTCTGTGTAAAAAGGGTGGCTGGCAGAACGGTATTCTTCAGAAAGTGCTGTCTACGTGTATGTTATCTGTCACACTGGTGGGTGTAGCATGTGTTACATGTCACGCCTGTCACACTTGATAGCATGCTTCTGGAACGCCAGCATGCTATCTGAAAATCACACACTGGGCCGGCATTATGCCGCAGTTGTTTGATTCTGAGTAAAAAAGCAAAGGCAGCATAATAAAGGGATTTAGTAGCGGCGCAAGCTTTGTGTAATAAGGGATAAGTTTTCAATACAATTTTTGAATGTTTTAGACACATTCCCATATTTCAGTCCTATATGAGAACTTTTAAGCAGATTAACAGTGGCGTGAAAATCAGCAGGCTAGTCTGTTTGTCTTTTATGTTTTTCAGATCACAAACTCAGACTGCTAATTAGTTATTTCCTCTCACACAGGCGCAGAACATACATGCCTGTCAGTGGTCACCTGGTCATCGGCCGTTGTCTTTGTGCTGTGTTCAAGTGCAACTTTTAACAGAAGACGTGAGGCGTCGCAAACTGTTTGATCAGTCTGCCTTTGTCGGTTCTAGTTCTTTGAGGTCGGCTTGGTGTGTCAGGGCCCTAATCTTCATACAGACATTCTCTGTGTTCTGTAACCACGGGGCCTAGGGCACACAGACCTATCCCGGAACAGTGATTAGCATATGTATGGGCCCTCTGCTCCTCAACTCCCACACAAAAGGCAGGCGGGCCGTGCAGCCACGAGGGCCAGGTGGTAAGCAGTGGGATTTCTCCTCGACTCAGCCATAGCCTGGGGGACAGGTGCAAACAACTTCACCTCCATGCAAGGCTACATAACAGCTCAAAGGAGAGGCTGTCTTGAACTTGTGCAATGCACAACAAAAGAGGCCAGGGACCTTTTGTCTGCTGCTCTCTGCTGTTGTTGTCTTAAAGAAAGAGCTGGGCCCAGGCATAGCTTTTTAACAGGAAGTGGTCTCTCACTATCCTTGGGGGAGTTTGTGCATTTAATCGTTCAAGGGTTGTCAAGTGTGTCATACTCTCCCACATTATTACAACATCACCAAATGTTTTCCATCTCAAGTCTCCACAGCTTTGACACATAAATCTCCTAAACTTGGTTTTCATTTTGGTCAGCCTTCAATCAGATCTTTGCTGATAACTGCTGGGAAATATGGTCGAGGGCATGTCACTATACAGCACAGCAAATATCACAGAGTGCCAAAAAACAGTAGGTCTACAAGAACACTGTGTATACATGCCCAGTTTTCAGGACCTGATAATTACCAAATTGATTTTCCGTACTTGTTTAGTCTTTCCAGGGCTGCACAGGAACCCTGTAATAAGAGGTATTTACTCTGCATTCAGCCACTTCAAGAGATCTTGTAGGCTCTCTCACCACTTCCTCAACCTACACACAAAGAAATGCCAGGCAAATGAGGGGTTAAAGGGATGAAGCCCATGTAAATTAGGCTTGGCGGGTCTTCATTCAGACACATGAAAGGCTTCTGTTAGCAAAGAGGGAGCAACCCTTGTTATGATCATGCATAGTCAATATTCTTTCATAACACAAACCCACCCCAAACCAACACCCCCCCACCAAAAAAAAGCTCTTAGAGAAAAACTGCATTCAGCCATCAGTGACATGGCACGATAAGTGGCTGATCATGTGTGGGCTGCTATCCAGGAATACTGTGGTGAGGCTCAATGTGAAACCCATGCATAGCTCATATGATGTGTTATAATGTATTAAAAATGTAGTGCTGCGAGGCAATTTCAGAATATTGACAGTGAAGGCTTTTAGGCCTGTACTGGCAGCAGACTCCACCACCAGCCACCAGATTACTATAACAAAATATTTGGCCACGACTTATAAATTTGTCTGCTTCACCAGCCACAATGAGAGAAACCAACAATTATTTGGAAGTCCCAACTACCATCATTTTCTGGCAGAAATGAAACGTGAGCGTGGTTTTTGGGGATTTACCGGACACTCGAGCCAAAGCGTGGGCCATGTGGCCATATTATAACATCTTGAGGTATCTTTGCTATGACAAGAATACAATAAGTCAATGCAAACCATATTGGGTAAAACTCTTCATGATTATTAAACAAACTTTAGTCTGGTGTCTCTTGTGCAGTGAGCTTTTTCCTCACATATCCCCTCCTGAAAATAACTGATCAAACAATTTGACTCTGCTTTTCCAAACTTCACTTCCACACTTTATTTTCCCTGATGCTGCAATGATTTATCACCCCAAATCAAATGTACAATGTGAGGATCAATCAATTACAGTCACCTGCTGAGCTGAATCAGACAGATCATGATGCATCTGGTCTCAAGATCAATTTGGTTACAAGGCGACGACATCTGTGGCCTTTGTAGTGCACAATATGTAAAAAAATCATGTTGTGATTATTCTGACAGATATTGGGATTGTGAAATGAGTCCCGATATCAGTGAGAATGGTAATTTGTGCATTTCATTTTCACTGCAATGATGGTGATGTGATTTTTACTGGGGTCTGTGCCAGTTAAGCAGACATTTTACCTCTTTCCTTGATCTAAGTTTTATTTTTTCTTGGGTCAGTGGGCCCCGTGGTCATTTGGTGTGTACCTTAACCAGTATGTTTGGATTACTTCAGCTGTGGGGCAGTATTGTGTTCAAAGTTCCAAGCATTTTGAGAATTCTACCGCACCTATTTGCGCCTTCTACGTCCTTGTGATTTACGTTTCCAAAGATTACGGAAACAAGACAATCGAGATAAAACCATGACTGTGCTGTATTCTGTGTCGCAATGACGCTCTTGTTTTGTCTTGTGTTGTAAATCCAGTGTAGCCTTTTCCTTTGCAACAGTGTACTCAGTGTTGCCAACTTGCCGACTTTCTTGCTAGATTTAGTGCCTTTTCAGGCCTTCAAGTGACTTAATTTTTAAAAACAACCCACTCCGACGGAGCTTGCATTACAACACGCATTGGAGCTCTCAGGATGGCTGCTAACATTTCATTTACTACAGCATCAACCAAATAAGTCAATGACTATACGATTGACTATACGACCACGCTTGCATACACTGTACGCCGGAATTAACACTGAAATAAAACACATGGTCAAGTGCTTGAGCTCAGCTACAATGTGCCTTCACATGTGCGTTATAGCCAGTCCGTTGTGCCTGCTCTGCACAAACGAGTATGTGAGTGCCTTAACTGTTATAATAAGAACTATGGCCAATGAGCCGCCTTCAGTTAAATTATAGTTTAAGTTAAAAAAAGCCACAGTCCAAAAGACATGTTTCTTTTCTTAAAGTTAAATAAATGCGGGATGTTTCCAAAGTCAATGAGGATTTGTGTTAAACAATCGTGATCTAATATATGACCAAAATAATTGTGATTAGGATCTTCACCATAATCAAGCAGCCCAACTTTTTCAACATGGCAAAGGCAAAGGAGGCTCATGGGTATGGTTGCCTGTCTACAGTGTCTGGTTTCTCACTGAGATCATATCATAAACCAACAGTATAATCAGATCATCTGGAGGAGTCCCACGTTTCTATGTTAAGTAACATTAAGATGTCGTTTATAACTATTTTGCAACAGGGGTAAGACACTTCCTGAACCAGCAGCTCAACCTTCTTTGCAACACGTGAATAATATCATATGGCCCACCAATTCAGGCACATAGCCAAAAGGTGTTTTTTCTGAGTGGGATGTACCTGTGTGGCTTTGTCTTTCATACAGGAAGGGTAGGGTCCGTGGGAGTCCCGAGGCCACTGGCCGGTGAGGTATGGCCCCGTGATGGCGTCCAGGGAAGATGTCCGCCGGATGGCACTAGAACTCCGAACCTGTAACTTGGACCTTTCTGCTATGAATTGAGAAAGAATAAAGAAATAGCATCAGACACACACACACACACACACACACACACACACACACACACACACACACACACACACACACACACATGCAGGCGTCAGCACCAAGTGAGCAATATTCCTCAACAGCCTGAGGCATCTTTGAGTCGATGTGCCAACTTTCCTGACTGTGTCATTACGACACAACAGAACTCAGCATAAAGCACTAAAGTGTCACTGTGTGATTAATCTCTCCGTGCAAATGTATAGTAAAGGACTGGGGGCAACATAGTGAGTGACACCCAACCATAATGGTTTAAATTTTTGGCAAATAATCATGTAAAACATTCTGAAACGAAAAGCAATTGCATAACCAAAGTCTTACTGTCAAAATAAGTTAGTTTCCTTGACCTAGTTTCTTCAAATCTGTTGTAGTGTGAGCACAAACAGGACTGTGGGAAGATCTTCACATTACAAGAACAGAAATATATTTCAGTCAATCACAAAGTGACTTGTTACTCAGGTCACTGGCTAAAAGAAGTTAGAATATCGCCAAAAACAACATATTAGAATCAGCATTTCACCTTCGCCACTGATACTGTAATTAACAGTGTTTTATTGAGATGAGACCTAGCCTTGCAATCTGTTCTTGTTTTCAAAGTGTGGACATTTTTTCTAATCTAATACGTATTAGTGCAGGGCAAACAACAGGCATGAGAGCCGAGGCCTGAAGCAAATGTAAATGGCTGAGCAGGAGTATCTGATGTTATGAGAGCAGTCTGCTGTGAGCCAGAACAGTTAAGCACACACCACCCACATAAGAACTCATAAACAACCACACCACAATGCACATCAATACTGCCTGCATTCACTCAACATTCCTGCAGTGACACGCAGTTAAAAAAAAAAATAAAAAAAGGAGAAAAACAAAACATGCAAACACAAAGACATTAGCTTAAGAATAGCATGAGACTGCAGTGAGAGCTGGATTAAATTTATAAGCCTCAATTACATTCTGTGTGATTACTGAAAGCAAATAAAAGCTCCTTCATTTCCCTATCAAAGGCAGAATAAAAGAATAACATGATGATCAGGAAACATTTACTCCAGTCCTCGTCTGAGCAGGCTTCAGCAGAGGCCTTTCCAACATGGACAGACAAACCAGCACACAGACTGAACTATCTACATGAGGCACCCCTCTCCTAGCAGAACTACATAGCCGTTCATTGTTGTTCTTTGTTCGTAGAATACACAGGCCTACCCACCCAAAGGTATTGCCTAAGTAAGCTTACTGGGCTACAGTAAAATTCCCTGAAGCATTGTAGACAAAGGAAGCAGGCTAAATTTCCATCAATATTGATATAGGCCAAGCCAGTGCTCTCAGAACCGGGATTGTGGTTATTTTCCATCGTCTCCCCACTTGCCAGACTAGAATAATCTCCTGATGAGAAAAAAGAAACAGTGTGAAAGAAGCCAAGACATCAAAGCAGTCCATCTGCTGATTCCAGGGATAAGTGAGTGGTGGATGTGATATTAAAAGGAATATTTTCAGGTTGAATTTTAATGAGAACTTTCCTTCACCGGGCATTCAGTAAGCTGTGAAAAAGTCTCAGCATTTCCAGGGGATAAATGGGTCAAGTCAAGAAATGGGTGGTTTATTAACTGTAGAGCAGAGGCAAATGTGAAAACAAACATGTGGTCCAGATCAGTAAAGCATAGCAGAATGGTTTCTTGTAGGTTTTCACAAGAATACAAGATTATTTGTTGAGAGGAAAATCACAATGAAATTCTCAATGACATTATACGAGAATTTTAGTCTGTGCTAAAGCTAAACCTGCCAGGGCTTATGTGTCACTTTAATAGACACATGTAGAGCCTATGGAAATATGGAACATACCTCATACAGTTCAAATTAACTTTATTGTAGCTGCTCAAATTAGTGAATAATGAAACATGGAATTACCCATTCAAGACCATGCAAGCTTGGTCAATGTTAGAAAGATGGTCTTGTCATAACACTAAGCTGTCTATGCAGTATAACGACGCAGATACTTTTGCAACTGGTGCTACGTGACTTGAGCCATTTGCTTCTGCTCAAGAGTTAGAAAACCTACAACTACCAGAGTGCACAGCGCCAAACCGGAACAACGCACCTGCTGGTAGATGATGCAATATAATGGTGGCCAGCTGATAACAAACAATCTCGTATTACAGTTAAATAATAAGCTGAAACATGTTTCTGAGAACAGCTGAGGCGAGAAATAGGCAACGCAGTGACATAATCTTGGTTTATATTTGATCAGTTTACAGTTTGATCTCTTTTTTTTTTTCAGCCTTTGTTTTATTACCATGCAGGAAACAGTATGGTGCCCACTTCCTGTTTACAAACTATCACTATTGCAGCATAACAGGGCACTAAAATGTTTCTGAAAATATCTGAGGCAAGAAATAGGCAGTGCAGTAACATAATCTTGGTTTATATTCGATCAGCACTGCTTAGTTTGATTGTCGTTTGGTTTTGAGAGGGGCAGGTTTGTCTCTTGATCCACCGCTATACTCTTTGTGTCTGTGGTGGTGAGCAACAGCCTGAGAAAGTAGATGACGTGTTTCCCAAGAGGGGAGCAGGGAGATCTGGGTACTGGTAAGATGAGGAACGTTAACCTTAGTTCATTTACACATACTAACCACACTGTTGGCGAAGTATCACTAAGAAGGGGGGATAAGAATCCCAACAATGGCCAGTGTCCATTAAAGTGATACTACTGAAATTACTTATACTACTAAAAAATTGCCAAAATGTGATTATATTTGTTATATTATTCACTGTATTATATAAACTACTGATAGACGAGGCATGATTATTGATTCTGTAAATACTTTTGATACTGTGCATTTATGTATTACGTTATATAAATAAAAAAACATTACACATCATCATGGAGGAATCTTTTTAACCACTGGGCAACCCAGCAGCTCATGTTTCATAAATGTTCTGCATGAGCTGCTCAAGCTAAAAAAGTGTGTTAAATGCGAGCAGTGATGAGAGCAGTGACTGTCTCTCATACATTATGAATTATGTCCATGTTGGCAGTGATGTTTTTAAAGTTATGAGTTTCAGCATCTGTCCCTCAGCTGGTCAGGAAATGGCTTGTTAGCATCATTAGCATCAGTCAATGAGTCCGGTGGGTACCTCCCACAACAAGCTAGCTTGGACTACTTTCAGTGTATCTCGATTTATGAGTGGTGTATGCTAACAGTGCTAACAATTTCTACTTTTATAGCTGAGAAGTGAAGAGTAAGCAAACTCAACATCAAGGTCCAACCAGATGCTACACAGTCAGTTTCGTGCCAGCTCATAAAACTAAAAAAAAAAAAAAA